CATCTGCTCTCGTCATGATGAAGTGATGAAGATGTTCTGCCGTACTGATCAGAAGTCTATCTGTTACCTCTGCTCTTTGGAGGAACATAAAGGCCACAACACTGTCTCAGCTGCAGCAGAAAGGACTGAGAGGCAGAGAGAACTGCGGGAGAGACGAGGAAAAATCCAGCAGAGAGTCCAGGACAGAGAGAAAGATGTGAAGCTGCTTCAGCAGAAGGTGGAGGCCATCAATTACTCTGCTGAGAAAACAGTGGAGGACAGTGAGAAGATCTTCACTGAGCTGATCCGCCTCATCAAGAAAAGCAGCTCTGATCTGAAGCAGCAGATCAGATCCCAGCAGGGAACTGAAGTCAGTCGCGTCAAAGAGCTTCAGGAGAAGCTGGAGCAGGAGATCACTGAGCTGAAGAAGAAAGATGCTGAGCTGGAGCAGCTCTCAGGCACAGAGGATCACAACCAGTTTCTCCACAGCTACCCCTCACTGTCAGACCTCAGGGAGTCTACACCCTCAGCCAGAATCAACATCCGTCCTCTGAGAAGCTGGGAGGATATGACAGCAGCTGTGGCAGAGCTCAGAGACAAACTACAGGACGTCATGAGAAACACATGGACAAAGATCTCACTGACAATGACTGAGGCAGAACCAGAGAGTAGAGCTGGGTTCTTAGGAAATTCATGTCAGATCACACTGCATCCAAACACAGCATACAGTTATCTGTTACTATCAGAGGGAAACAGGAAGGTGACAAGGACGCTTCAACCTCAGTCTTATTCTTGTCATCCAGACAGATTCACTGGGTGGTCTCAGGTTCTGAGTAGAGAGAGTCTGACTGGACGTTGTTACCTGGAGGTGGAGTGGAGGGGGAAGGCTATTGTTGCAGTAGCATATAAAGATATCAGCAGAACAGGAGGAGGGAAGGAATGTTTATTTGGATGTAATGAAAAATCTTGGGCATTAAGTTGTTCCCAAGATGGTTATAAATTTGGTCACAACAACATCTGGACCTCCATCTCAGGTCCTGGTTCCTCCAAAGTTGGAGTGGACCTGGATCACAGAGCAGGTGTTCTGTCCTTCTACAGCGTCTCTGAAACCAGAACTCTCCTTCACAGAGTCCAGACCACATTCACTCAGCCGCTACACGCTGGAGTTTGGGTTTGGGGTATTGGTGCCTCTGCAGAGTTCTGTAAATCCAAATAGATCCAACGTGTATTTAAACATGCAGAATACAGTTTGATGATGCACTTTAGAAAAAAAAACTCAATTTTTTTAATCATGTCACCCATGACACAAAAATTTATAGATTTGGTTATATGGATAATTGTTATTTTTTTTACTCATAAAAAGGGATTCCGGTATCTGTTGGATATATTAAAGCATCTTTAGTTTCTTTATCACCACTGTTTCCTATCAACATGGACATGAAAAAATGGTTAGAGTAACTAACATGTCAGGTTCTGCAAGTGAAGTTTCATTTTAATTCATAATAGGTAGTCATATTTTGTTATTTGGGCTATTTTGTGTTTTCCTTATCAGTTCAGATTGCTCTATTGTCATTTTTTTGTTTATTTCTCCTGTTTTTTAGTTTATTTCTGCTGTTTAGTGCTTTTAGGTAGTTATGACTCTATTCAGCTAATTGTTATCTCTGTTATTAGAGAAGTTCTTTTATTTTCTCCTTTGTATTTTTCACTTTTTATTTATGCATAAACATTTCTCCATAAGCCAGAGCCTATTCGTTTATTTCCCTATTGTCTCCACCTGTGCCCAGCTATACTTAAGTAGACAACCTGCAGTTACTAGGCACTGGTTTCGCTGCTTATTTCCAGACATCTTGGAATATTACATCGGGTTTACAACTTGGTGTACCACATAGGCTTGTGCTGTGTCAAGAGGACACCTCCCTTTTTTTCTTGCTGTAAGGTTCAGGCAGGGGCCGTAGATTCTGCACTCACCATTGGGTGTCAGGAGGATGCTGCAATTTCTGCTCTTGCTGCTCTGGTTCTCGAGGAGTATCTGCTTCTGATCTTATCTCTGGGGCTTCCGAGGAAACTTTGACACAAGCTAATATAAGGTCTGCAAGATGTCTAAAAGCAACTGGCCCAGGTTGTCAAGCCTGGTGTCTGTATTGAGTCTCCCTAAGTTCCTGAGCCCCAACAAGGCCTTCCACTATAACTCCAGCATTATGTGTCAAGACTCTGCCAAGGCTCTAAGGACCAAGCGCCTCACTGAGGCTCTTGGTACTCTGGACAACACAGACACTTATGAGTTCCAAGTTTCATATTCTCCACCATGATTGGCTTCAAGTTTCCTAGTCCACTCCTAGTTCATGTTCCTCTGAATTTTGCTCCATGCTGGTTGAGTTTCGGGTGGCCTGTGTGAACAGTTTCTCTGCACAAATCAACCTCAGAATGCCTGCCTGAACTGTTTACATTTGTTTTGGGTGCTTCTTTAAAAGTTCCCTCTGCCAGCTGTGCATGGTTTGAGTCTGGTTCCTTTGTTTTGATATCAGCTGTGCTGCTGCCATCATCACTTGTTTATAGATGTTGGGGCTTGGCCGGTTTTTTGAGTGTAGTCCTGTTTCTGTTACTGTGACTAACTGTGCTCTGACACGCGAGCTGGAGTTTATCTACCTGGCTGTGTGTTTCCTGTATGGTGCTGCCTGTAGAGGCCTTTTGTATATCTGCTTCTTTCTGTATGTCTTCTTCTATCTCCTTGAACCCCACTTTGCCTTGGCAGATGGCCGCTGACACTGAGCCTGGTTCTGCTGGAGGTTTGTTACTGTTAAAAGGGAGTTTTCCTCTCCACTGTCACTACAAGCATGCTTGGTGTGAGGAATTGATCTTGGGTCAATGAGTCCATGTAATGAACATTTTTTCCTTAGATAGAACACTTTAAATAAATTTTTTACTCTATTATCTGCTTGAATTGTCTCTGTAAAGTGCCTTGAGATGACATGTGTTGTGAATTTGCATTATATAAATAAATAAAATTTACTAGAATTTTGGCCCTCTCTGTGAGGACCCAATCCACCAGCTTATCTCCTTTGTTTAGTTTTAACTTATCATTATCATATCATCAACCAACAAATCAGAAGCTGAGCATTTGTCTGTATTTTGGTCCAAATCAAGCCTTGAGAAAAAGATGCTTAAATCGATCAAAAGTTGCCTGAATTCTTTTTTTAGTGAAGTCTAAAAAACGCTCTGACTGTCAAGTGCTGAAGGGCGGGATGCTTTTCTGTGTTTTTTTTTTTTTTTTTTTTTTTTTTTTACTTTGTGGGGGATAGGTGCAATACAAAGAAAAACTATAGCAATATGTGAAAATAACATTACATGGCATTATTGAAGTATCCTCTTAAGACATCAGCCAGGATTGTTTTTTTGGAGCAGTTATAAGAAAGTATAATTCTTGCCCTGCATCTAAATCTGGTTTCAACTATACAAAACATACTGATTAACTGATAAGACAAAATTTTGTTTTAAATTATTAGTTTTTTAAATATCTATTCATAGAAAGTAATTGAAATAAAAAACGTAAAAATATTTTACTGTAAATGTGATGAATACCTGTATTGTTGAATTCCACACTGTAACTATATAAAAAATGTATTTATATTCTAGGGCATCACAATGCCTATGTAACATTATGTACTGTATCATATGGTCAATGCTAAACTGAGTTAACAGTTTTTCGAAAGCTTCTGACCAGACTAAAAATCTTTCTAAGGGCAAAAATGGGACAATGGTTATGTTGAAGAAGAAAGTTACATGAATTGAGACAAATGAGCCATTTAGAGAGTCACAGAGAAACACATTGAAAGAGACTAAGCAATACAGAGGCATTGTTTCTTAGCAGGGGATGAAAGCGGGTTATGTCACTGTCTCATCAGACAGGATTAAGTGCAGGATGCCAGACCCCTCCTCTGCAGTCCACACTAATAGAAATATGCACACTTGCACGCAGTGCCCCATTGCTTGAGGGAACAGCAAGGGTCGGTATGAGTAACTGACTATGCACTCTTTATGTGAAGTCGTTTGTGTTTTAGCCAGAAAAACTGGCTTAGATGAAGGGTTAAAAAACAGCTTAACTGTCACACAACTGTTTGCTGCACTTGCTTTTTCATGTTTTAATGTCATTTGGCCAATTAGTGGTTAAATATCTGGATCCATTCCTACATTAAAGTGTGATTTATGAAATGTATTTATTATAAATAAAACACATTTTTTATTCAAATATACAATACACCTAATTACACTGCACACTGGAAGTTGTTTACCATTCAGGATAATTTGATTAACACACTGATAATTAAGATGGATTAAGAGGCATTGCAGAAAGGAGGCAGTGGGGTATTATGTTTGAGGAAACAAAGGCTTCCAAGAATAAGATCTGCAAGACGATACATATAGAGTTGTACAGGCTTGCTTCCATTCGGATTTGTTTTGTAGAGTTTGTTTGAAAAAAAAAAAGAATTTTTTTAACACTTTCAGGAAACTTAGCAATTAACACAAGATATTAGCAAAAAGGGAGTTGTAAAAAATGTTTTCATGCAGAACTGTGCAAAACAGATTTCATCATATCATCCTCAGAACTGTTTTTTTGTTTAAAAAATTATTACTCAACTAAGATTTTCAGGCATTTAATTATTTTATTGAATCTTGACTACAATCTTTTTATTAGAGCATTATGAATAGTTTCACTTAAATTATTTCATCCAATCTAAACGGCTCCCTAACCTTGTCATGCTTAGATGAACTAGGAATGTCTCTGTGGCTGAAAAAGTTGCAAAGAAATTTTTTTTTCTTTTGCAGTTAGTTGCAAATGCACATTGTATATATATTTTTACATACCTCTACAAAAAAAGATGAATGTTTCACATAAGAGTGTTTTGTTTTTATTTAAAAAAGATGAGCAATTTAATTTTCTATCTCTCTCTTTCTCTGTATGGATGTTTTATTGTTGTTCTTTTGAATATGATTCTCTAATTGTTGCCTCATGGTTGTGGCAGGTCCAATGGATGTGGGAAGTGGTGATTTGGGGCTTTACCGCACAGATTCTAGATTTAAAGATGAAGATGGATTTGACATTGATGACTCAGATTATGATGTCTTTATTGAAGAGGTAGGTCTTACATGTTCAATTCCAATGTGATACTAAATACTGAATGCCTGAGAAAAATATCTAACTTAAACTGCAATGTTTAAATTCGTCTTATACTTAACCTGTTTATGTCGTAGTTGAAGCCATTTCCAGGTATCACTGAGAACAACAGGAAATCCCAACTGCGCTCACACCCCGGACCACCATCTGGACGCAATGTTATTTACCGCATGAACACCAACGTCCCTCCAAATGTCACTGATCAACCAGTTACTACGACAACCTCCTCCATACTTTTAGACTTCACAGATCTGGCTTTGGCGTCAGAGCCCAGTAACACTGCTGACACCCCAACCATTGCCCTACCTACCACCACGAGGTAATATGGGTTTAGATAAAGTGCATTACTTGTTTATATTATTTTACTTTGTAGTCTGGAACAATCACAGGTGAAGGGGATAAGGCATATATTTTAAATAACAAATTAAGAACAAAGAATTTTAATTTGTAGACTCTAAGTCAAAGTTTGAAACTTTTTTGTGTGCAGAACTTATTTTATGTGCATAGCAATTGATTTTTTTAAATATTTTTAACATTTATTTATTTACTACTGATATGCTGTGAATTTTTCCACTTATGGACTAATAAAGCATTTATTGTTCTATTCTACCAATTCTATTCTGTTCTTATTTCCTTGTTTACTGATGGACAAGCACATTTATTTTTATGAGAAAAAGTGGTGCTTTGACTGTTGTTGCTAACTTTTTTATATATATTTATATATATATATATATATATTTTTTTTTTTTGCTTTACATTTTGATTTAAATGGTGACTGAAACTTTATCTTTCTCATCTTTGAATTTCCATCAGCTCACCATTGCCCACCACTTCTGTTCCTACTATCTCACGATGGCAAGGTGAGATACCTCGTGTGAATGACTTGACTTGTGGAGATACTGTGTGTCCACCTGACAGTTTCTGCCTCACTGATTATGAGAGTGGAGGTTCGCGCTGCCACTGTAACCTTGGACGCAGAGGCGACACTTGCTCTGAGGGTGAGATACTGAATGGCGAAATATATGATTTCCTTTATTTTCACTTTCTATTTGAGACTGAAACCTCTGTTTCATTCTTATTTTGTTAGTGCACTGCAAAAACAATCCAGAAATAAGTAAAAAATGGCTTAAATTAAGTATATTTAGCCTTAATTTGAGCAGGTAAATAAGATGATTTGCCAATGGAATGAGTATTTTCACTCTTAAAATAAGATAGTTAGATAATATTTACTTGAAATAAGACGATAAAATAGTTTTTTCTTATTTTAAAAGGAAATTGTCTTGTTCCATTGGCAAAGTGTCTTACTTATCTCCTCAAATCAAGGAAAAACACACTTATTTTAAGAAAAAATAACTTATTGAGATTTATATTTTTTGCAGTGTGCTTTTGAAACCAAAATATTCACAGGCAGTTTATAAAAAGACTTAGGGCCGGATTTATCAAGATCCAATTTTGCGTGCAGTAATTTGCGCTCGCAAACGGGAATTTTGCGCAAGGGGCTGAACCATGGTTTGCGGGTGATTTAACAAGAGTGATTGCGTAACTGGTGGCAGGTGCAAAACTGTTGGAGACGCCCTATTTAAATGATGGTTTTGCGCATTTTGTGGCTTGCGGCAAAGTAGTTTGTACAAACTAGTGCATTAAGAAATTTAAATCTTACAGTGACACCCCCACCCCCTCCCAAAAAAAAATAAATAAATAAAAAAAAAAAAAAAAAAAAATATATATATATATATATATATATATATATATATATATATATATATATATATATATATATATATATATATATAAACTTTGGCAACCTTTATTCCCTAAGGTGGTATGTGACTGAATTTCTACTTCACTGCAGTAAAAAAAAACAAAAAACAAGTGTTTTGTATTGGCCTGTAGAAAAATGCACATACCAAATGGCTCACAAGAAGTGACTGTGGATGAGATTACTGCGCGTACGCATCCCCGCAGCATTGGCATGTTGCTCCACAGGCTCAGGGGGGAGGTCGGGGTTCTCTTGTAGGGCGTCAGGGCGACATGGCATTCAGAACGTCGGACAGCACTTTTGACAAACGAGATTGGGAGATCCCAGCTCTCGCTGCAACCGTACGCTGGAATGACCCAGATGCAAAAAAGTGCAATGTTGCAAGGAGTTTTGTGATATCTGGTATTGCGTGGGTCCTCCTTGTGGCTGGCTCCAAATCCATTCGGAGTTCCCCCAACAGCTCCAAAATGGCAATGCTGGATAAACGATATGTTTTGATGATCGTTTCCTCGTTCATTCCAAAAATATTCACACGGAGTGAAAAAAATGCGTTCTCTGCGTCTCCTTGCTTCATTTCGATGTCTCCTTCTTGCGACAATAACCGCTGCCATGTGTGCGCAATTACGCATACAGACCATTTGCACCTTCTTTTGAAACGTGTTAAATATAGAGTCAGATACCATTAGCAAAATTGCTTTCAGGTTTAATAAATCACATTGCGAGTGCTAAATTAATATATTTACATGTTCTCCTCCCACAAGATGCACTTTTGCGTGTAAACGCCCCATATTGCATATTCATTGCAGAAAAAGTACTAAATGGATAAGAGGCGCTATTTAGCACGTTTTAAAGACCAAATTCTTTTAGCACGCTGTTGATAGATCAGTTTGTACATTTTTTAGCGTGCGCAGTGAAATAGCTCACGTTTTTATACACGCAAACCTTTGATAGATCCGGCCCTTAGTTTTATTTTTTTTCCCCTCACAGTCTTACAAGTAACTCGAAATTACTTTTCTCAGGATGAGTAAAAGAACTTTCATTTGCCAAGAAAAATGGTAGCATTGTGTCATGGGGTATTTGGCAGGAAAGAGGAAAGAGAATAATGAGAACACATCCATCCATCCGTCCATCCATCCATCCATCCATCCATCCATCCATCCATCCATCCATCCATCCATCCATCCATCCATCCATCCATCCATCCATCCATCCATCCATCCATCCATCCATCCATCCATCCATCTATACAGTATATTTTTCTTTATTAGATTTTCTTTATTAGAGACCATGTAATCAGCATTTCCAATTTACTTCTAAAAATATCATAAATGTATTGTTCTACACATGCAAGAAGTCTCCTAACCTTTTATTATTGCATGTTAGCGCTAGAATTAAATTTAGGTTTAAATTTTCTTCTGTTTCAGTTTTTTGTTGTGTCTATAAAGATGCCTCCATGTGGTTGTGAAATAGAAATAGAATAGCACATTGTCGTGGTTTCAGTGGCCCTTGCGGACACGCCCCTAGCATCTCAGAGCTAAGAACAATTGTATTGTGTTATTATATTATCAAATTGGTTTCAAAATTGCTTAATGACATCAAGGACAACAATTTTTGGAGTTAATTGTAAAACTCTCCTCTTTAAAAAGCAGTGAAGCAACAGGACTTGGATATATCATTTCTATTAGGAGGAATGGGTCAATATTTTCTAGAATATTGTGTGCCAAAAGTTATTAAAAATATTTAAATCATACAATTTAAAGTGCCGTCCTACTGTAAAGTGAGGGGAGGCAAATTGAAGATACATTTAAGAATATCTGTGGGATTTTGGTGGCATTTAGAAAATAGAAATAAAGGTTGTATCCCTTAAAGATTTAAAATGGAAAAGGCTTTGTTTTCATTTGCTGTGCATATAAACAGTGTCTGATTTCAGCTGTGCGTAGCTTTTTATCGAAAGCATTGAGAACAGCTCTTGTGCCACAATCCATTTTTGTTGTCATTTGGTTCTGGCATACTGTTCTACTAACCTTGTCGAATTTCCTCTTCAGCTGTGACAGTGAACTTTCCCAGGTTCTATGGCTACTCTCACATGACATTTGAACCCCTGAAAAATTCCTACCAGACCTTTCAGATCACTCTAGAGTTTAAGGCAAGACATTTTGTTGCATCAAAACATTGCCTCCTCTCAGGCTAGGACGGTTTTTACAATGTTTTATTTTTTTTTTCCTGTACAGGCAGAATCTGAGGATGGCTTATTGCTTTACTGTGGAGAGAATGAACATGCTCGTGGAGACTTCACATCATTAGCTTTGGTTCGTGGTAAACTAAACTTCAGGTTAGAGGCAACATAAAGTTTTCATATGTCTAATGTAATGTCTGTAAACTGATGGCCACCCAGTTTTTTTCTTTGTTTGCTTGGATTTAGTTTTTCATTTTTCCCTTTTATGTGCAATAGAATTATGCCTCAAAACATTGATATACACTCAGAGGCCACTTTATTAGGTACCCCATGCTAGTAACGAGTTGGACCCCCTTTTGCCTTCAGGATTGCCTCAATTCTTCGTGGCATAGATTCAACAAGGTGCTGGAAGCATTCCTCAGGGAGTTTGGTCCATATTGACATGATGGCATCACACAGTTGCCGCAGATTTGTCGGCTGCACATCCATGATGCGAATCTCCCGTTCCACCACATCCCAAAGATGCTCTATTGGATTGAGATCTGGTGACTGTGGAGGCCATTTGAGTCCAGTGAACTCATTGTCATGTTCAAGAAACCAGTCTGAGATGATTCCAGCTTTATGACATGGCACATTATCCTGCTGTAAGTAGCCATCAGAAGTTGGGTACATTGTGGTCATAAAGGGATGGACATGGTCAGCAACAATACTCAGCTAGGCTGTGGCGTTGCAACGATGCTCAATTGGTACCAAGGGGCCCAAAGAGTGCCAAGAAAATATTCCCCACACCATGACACCACCACCACCAGCCTGAACCGTTGATACAAGGCAGGATGGATCCATGCTTTCATGTTGTAGACGCCAAATTCTGACCCTACCATTCGCATGTTGCAGCAGAAATCGAGACTCATCAGACCAGGCAACGTTTTTCCAATCTTATATTGTCCAATTTCGATGAGCTTGTGCAAACTGTAGCCTCAGTTTCTGTTCTTAGCTGAAAGGAGTGGCACCCGGTGTGGTCTTCTGCTGCTGTAGCCCATCTGCCTCAAAGTTCGACGTACTGTGCGTTCAGAGATGCTCTTCTGCCCACCTTGGTTGTAACGGGTGGTTATTTGAGTCACTGTTGCCCTTCTATCAGCTCGAACCAGTCTGGCCATTCTCCTCTGACCTCTGGCATCAACAAGGCATTTCCTCCCACAGAACTGCCGCTCACTGGATGTTTTTTCTTTTTCGGACCATTCTCTGTAAACCCTAGAGATGGTTGTGCATGAAAATCCCAGTAGATCAGCAGTTTCTGAAATACTCAGACCAGCCCTTCTGGCACCAACAATCATGGCACGTTCAAAGTCACTCAAATCACCTTTCTTCCCCATACTGATGCTCGGTTTGAACTGCAGGAGATTGTCTTGACCATGTCTACATGCCTTAATGCACTGAGTTGCCGCCATGTGATTGGCTGCTTAGAAATTAAGTGTTAATGAGCAGTTGGACAGGTGTACCTAATAAAGTGACCGGTGAGTGTAATGTATAATAATGTGTTTATAGATATGTTTTCCAATATAAACAAACCGAATGGCTATTTTTGGTTTAATTTCTGTCATAACCTAGTGGTGCAATAAGTAAATCATGCCTGTCTGCAAAATCAAATAAAAGGCAGCATGAAAACTGTGACGCAAAATCCAGTTTCTTATTGTTGGTGAAAACATTATTGTTAATTTATAAATCAAATTATTATATTACTGTACGATGAAAAAGGATGAGGCCAACTGCACATGAACAGACTGTAAAGATAATATTTATTACGTGTTCTCACAGGTTTTTGTTTTTGGCTCTTCAGGTTTAACTGCGGCACAGGTCCTGCACATATAATCAGTCAGAGTCCTGTTGTTCTTGGTCAGTGGCACATTGTTACTGTATTCAGAGATGGCACAAGTGGCTGGCTACGTATGGACAATGATAACCCCATATCCGGGCGCTCACAGGTAACAAAATGCCCTAGAATTAACAAAATGGAAATCTTGTTTACAGTGCCTTGCAAAAGTATTCATAACATTTGACTTTTTCACAACAACCACAGTGTACAATGTATTTGCTGAAAATTTATGTAATAGAGCAATGCAAAATATTTTGACATTAGACTTGCATGGGACATAGGTGGTGGAAACGCTAATCTCAGTAATCCTCTAAATAGTTTTAATTGCTCATTGGAGTTTGAAGCTGTCCTGTTTTGGGGATGAGCCAGACTTCAGGCAGACTTCTACATTTCAGGACCTGGTTGGGTCATCAGAGTTTGATTCCTACAAACAGGAATTGGTTCACAGTGGACAGTGTTGTTGAGCAATGGCGTAACGACACAACAATAGGCCCGTAAGCAACATTATCTTGGTGGGCACCATACAAGGTACAACACCCTGTTCCGGTTCATTGCGGTATAAATAAGGTCCGGTCAGACAGACTAGCATCAGGTGGATAAAATAGGAAGTTTTCGCACCATTACATCTGCAGAGAGACGTCCTAGTCCACAATTGCATAGGGGACCTACCAGGAGTCAGTGACAGGGCCCCTAAAAGGTCGGGGGCCACAAAGCAACTGCATACTCTGCTTACCGATATTAACGCCATTGTTGTTGAGGATGGTGAAGGGGATGCTCTTCAGATCAGAGGTCCTTCCTGATTTTTAGTTGGTTTAGCTTGATGGTTCTGAGTGCACAAGTGCACTAGTTGGTCTCCTTAATGTCTCAGTGCATATTCATTGTGGTCTTGGATCAGATCAGTGCTAGTAGTGATTCGTGTACACGGAGAAGAGGGGTGGAGAGCAAACACACCCTTAGGGGATAAGTGTGGGTGTTTTTTAGGCGGGAGAGGATGTTCCTTATGCTTACTTGCTGCTGATGATCACTCAAAAAGGCTGGTGATGCAATGACTGGGAGAGGCTGCCATTGTGAGCTGGGTGAGCATCTGATGAAGGATGTCCAGCATTACAGTGTTGAAGGCTTAGCTGAAGTCCACAAAAAGGATTTGGCATATATATCGCTGGGTGGTAAAGGTGGTAAAGGTGGTGCAGGACAAAGTGTAGGCCCAGCTTGACTGCATCATCTGCTAACCTGTTTACATGGTATGCAAAATGAATATTTTTTTCAATTCTAGACAATGAATTGAAAAACAATGAACAGTTGCCCATGTGCTGTTTTGAAAAATTACCGACCACGATTTAAACCTTGGTAAAACTTTCTCCCATAAATGATCGCTCTGCTTCTTGGTCTTTATGATCCTGTTGGGCAAAAAATTAATAAGATCCTTTGTGAAAGGAACTTTATCTGATTTATGACTGTCAGATTCTAAATGTATGCCTCCCAGAGTTTTTATTTCACGTGTGTAAAATCTTTTAAAAATCATGCTTTATTTTCCTTGCACATCATAAATCCACTACTTTGCATTTGTCTTTAACATATTTCTCTGAAGATGTAAAAGAAGAAAAGCATACAAATACTTTTGTGAGGCACTGCATATAATGTATCCCTGGAAGAAATGCACTGATGAAGCCAATTTTTGCTGTCAGAGTTAAAAGCAACAGATTTGTCATTAGTTGCTAAAAAATATTGGATTCTTTGAAATTAGTTTGTCCTTAAAAATTATTCTGTCCTTACTGTGAAAGAAGACAAGGCACAAATTGTTCTCTTTAATTTTCTTTTTTCAGGGTCAATACACTAAGATTACTTTTCGCTCACCACTGTATGTGGGTGGATCTCCGAACACTTACTCGCTGGTCAGGGCGACAGGCACAAACCGTGGCTTTGTAGGCTGCATCCAGAGTCTGACCATCAACAGCATGGCTACAGACATCAGGCCATGGCCTGTGGGCAAAGCTCTGAGTGGAGCTGATATAGGTGAGGGATGCATAGTGTCCTCATTTTCTTTTCCTGTCTGCTTCTTCATCTACACCACGGTTTATATATTTTTCTCTGTATACTGTAATAGTTGAACAGATATCTGTGGATGAAACAATAGCAAGGACCTCATTTAGGAACTAAAAATAGACTTTGTTTAAAAATCGATCACATCATCTAAAGATTAATATATCATCAATAGTATTTTAAGGATAAAAGCAACATTTATTTTTAAAAAACAATGTAAGAAAATACATTTTAAAGAAAAGAATTTGCATGGAGATAAAAAAGTGTTGTTTTTCTGCTATCTATCGATAATACATATTTAGTAGATTTGATGTAGAATAGAATAGCATGACACTTTACTGTCATTACATTGTTACAAATACAAAGCAATGAAATTCACACTCTGCATTTAACCCATCCCTTGGGGGAGCAGTGGGCTGCCATTGTGCAGATCAGTGTGGGGGTTAAGGGTCTTTCTCAGGGACCCAGAGTGGCAGTCTGTGGGAGTGGGGCTTATATTTAGAACCTTTGAGTTCCAAGTGCAATGCCCTAACCACTAGGCCTCCACTCCCCACCAAATGTACACAGAGCATAATAAATCTGATTAACAAAATAATTGTTTCCTTTTTCATTGATACCAAAATATGATATTAAATAAAGTTAATAAAGATAAAAGAATTAAATATAGTGAATTATCCAATCTTTTAATTCCAGTATAAACCGGAACTTTTTTTTTCATGTTAAATGTAATGATTTATGAAGGCATTTGTTCTTATTTGAAAGGTGAGTGCAGCGACAGTGTGTGTGACAAGGTCAGCTGTGCCAATGGTGGATCCTGCTTTGCCAACCGCGCTGATGGCTACATTTGCCTCTGTCCACTTGGCTTCAAGGGAGCTCTTTGTGAAGACAGTGAGTTAACAGCATTGCTCTTTTCATAAAGAACACACAGGTATTATTTACGCTGCGAGCTCTTAATGATCTTTTAAAATGAAAAAAAAGAACAAAAAAGGACAAAACAGCTGTCATGTTGGTTTTTTTTTTATATAATTACTCCACATTTCAGGAGCAAATTGAAGAAAATGAACTGAGATAGGGATTATTACTTTGAACATGATTGTTAGGGGATTGATTGCATTTAAGAGCAACGTTCTAACAATTCACCATTTCACTTTCTTTCATCCAGCACATTTCACATACTTGATTTTCTCCTTCAGTTCACTTTTTTAAACCTTTTTTAAATCTTAAGGTTTGCTTATGTTTCTTTCCAGCCCTTGCTCTTTGTTCTTAGCTGTTATTTTCTCGTGTCCTCTTTTAATCCCTCAGGTTTCTCTCTGTCTTCACCACTTTTCAATGAAACTGTGTTTTCATATGCTGTCCTCCCGTGGCCTCAGTCCCCCCAGAGTTACCTCTCCTTCATGGAGTTTGAGGTGACATTCTGGCCATCCGTGCCCAGTGGGGTGCTACTGTATAGTGATGATGCAGGCAGTAGAGATTTCCTGGCTATAAACATGGTGGATAGATATGTGGAGTTCAGATTCGACTGTGGTTCTGGAGAAGCTGTAATACGGTAACGTTAAAATGAACTTTTGTTTCCTTATCTGTCACCTTCTGCTACTGATTTCGTACTATAAGTGTGTATTTATCTGTGGTGCAGGAGTGAGGAACAAATAAGTCTGGACTCGTGGCATGAGTTGAGAGTATCTCGCACTGCTAAAAGTGGGATCTTGCAAGTAGACAACCAAAAGCCAACTGAGGGAATTGTTGAGGTATTTCTCAAATAACTTAATTGAGTGAAAAAGTATGTGTCGGAGAGATAATTTATTTGGTTTTTAATTTCAAACTTCTAAAAGCATCAATGCAACATGAGTTAAAAAGTTTGCATATCATCAATCTTCTGTTTCCTGATTGAACTAAAAGAAAATGAAGAAAATGGTCTAATATCTTTGTTGTTTATTTAAACGTATTTAATTTCATAGGCAAAATTTAAATATAACTGCAGAATTTGAATGTTTCAAAGATATTTTTTATATACCACGCAAAAGCTGCCTTGCTTAGTCTTCTTTAATCTTCCTTTGCAGATAAAGCAATTTATTGTATTTTGTAAATACAGTGAAACATTCTTAATTCCTGAGTTTTGATGAATTAAAAATGGATTTCATATTTTAAACCAATTATATAAGCAAAAACCTACTGATGTATTTATGTAAGCATACTTATTTGTGAAGAGAAGATAAATAACATTTAATTTGTATTATTTCCTGAGACATAAATCAAACATCTCTATATCTCCTACTTAGGGAGCCTTCACACAGATCAACTGCAGTTCACCTCTCTATGTTGGTGGAGTCCCAGATTACGAGAAAACCAAGAGGGCAGCAGGCGTTGTAAAACCTTTTACTGGAATAATTCAAAAGGTCAGTGACTCTGCAACAGTTAAAGATTCTATCTATCTATCTATCTATCTATCTATCTATCTATCTGTCTGTCTGTCTGTCTGTCTGTCTGTCTGTCTGTCTGTCTGTCTGTCTGTCTGTCTGTCTGTCTGTCTGCCTGCATAATTTTTAAAAATTAATCTCGCTGTAATCTTGGAATTATCAAGATTAAAATGGTTCATTTGAATTTGGCATTCATGATATGTTTATCGCACTCAAACATTATAGTTTGACGAACACAACTCTTCACCTGCACTAAATCAGTGCTTTGGCTCAGCCAGCATCTTTCACATTGGCTAAAGGATGCTTTGCATTTAGGTGGTACTTGAAACTGGAAGAACTAAAGACTTGTCAAAGTTTCCATTGGGATGCTTCTTAAAATTAAAATTCTCTGAAGCAAACCTGGTGGCTTTATAGCTGCATCCATGTCAGCACGTCACGTTCAATGTGGTTATTTCACAGTAGGCCTACACAGGTTGGAAGGCTGATTCATTCTCACTTTTGGTCTTCGACATGTGTCAGCTTTCACACATGCCAAAACATCCTGCTTCTTTAACTGCTTTGTATATGGGTTTCCTTCCTAGCTGATCCTAAATGACCGCAGCATGCCAATCACTGTGGGCTCTGCTACTGGCATAAATATTGAAAACTCAGCTCACCCCTGTGTGGAAAGTCCCTGTGCCAATGGAGGGACCTGCAGGCCAAAGTGGGACCACTATGAGTGTGACTGCCCTCTAGGTTATGATGGAAGGCACTGCCAGAAAGGTCAGTAGTAGGAAATAAAATGTATAATCCATGGATGAAATTTTTTATTTCAGAGGTGGGGGGATGGAAGTATTTTTTAATATAACTAACTTTGACCATCCAATCACACAAGAAAAGACGGTGGGCCAATCAGGAGCTTGTTGGTGGTCTAAACTCAGGGAAGCGGGCTTCGGCTTGTGTTGAGGTTGTTACGCTTGGTCCTAGTGCCTGACGATTGTCTGTGTACTGTAGTGAAAAATAGTTATTCAACAATAAAATCCTGCAACAATAAAAAATCAATAAAATAAATCAATAAAAAATAAAAAAAATTATGTCCATGGTCTATAAGTCTGTTTGGTCTATGTTGGTTGGATGCTTTTAATGGATGATAGAGCAGGCTAAAATAAACAGCTGCTGAAAAATATCCAGGTTGTTTTAATTGTTAAAAGGTGAAGAACATTATATTTTATTGCACTGTGATAAGATAACATAAACCTCTATATTTTAATGAAATCACTGAAAGAAATAAATCTTCAAGTTTGATTTTTGTTGCTTTTCCACTATAAATAAATACAGAGCAAAAAAGCAGAATAAAACTGTTTTAAATCAAAGAGGATTTAGGATTAATCATATTCAAAATAAATAATACAACATACAGTACGTTGTTAGATAACTAATTTCTTCAAATTTCTCTGTACCTTCTTTGTTTTAATGCTTTCTTCAGAGTGTGGGAATTACTGTTTGAACAGTAAGTTTTCTTCTATACACCAAAAACAGAGATAAACTTTTACGTCATTTAGTTTGAATTAACTGTACATTGCTCCCATTGCTCCCATTATTATTTTCCACTTATTGACAGAGTAGCTTTTAGTCATCTAGTTTAGCTAGTAAGTAGATGCATGCATATACTGCCACCTTGTGTTCATATTAAGTTATTACTTAATTCATTTCTCCCAGCTGTGACTGAAGCCATAGAAATACCCCAGTTTATTGGCAGAAGTTACCTAACCTATGACAACAGAGATATCCTGAAAAGGTTGGTGGTATTAAATCTAATACCTTTCTCTAAAGTATCATTACTTTGTTTTCTCAGTTTAAAGTCTTAAACTGCTGAAAATTATATTGTTGATTTGAATAAATACTGCATATTTTCCCTTTCTTATTCCAGAGTGTCTGGGTCCAGGACAAACCTGTTCATGCATTTTAAAAGCACGGCCAGGGATGGTTTGTTGCTCTGGCGTGGAGACAGTCCGATGAGACCCAACAGTGATTTTATTTCCATGGGGCTTCAGGATGGAGCTCTCATTTTCAGGTGTTCTTTCCAAAGCTTTTCTGGAATAAAAAGAAGAACTACCTCAAATGAATAGCATAAGTTTCTAAGAAATTACATTATACTTAATTAATTAAAGTGAAACATGACAGCCAAGATGCACTGCAGAGTATTTCCAAAATTGAATCAATTGGTGGAATTAGGGACTGAACTAACAGCCCTGAGATTAAAGGACAAGCTTTTTGTCTCCTACTTTTCTCCACATGACAACCAAAAACCTCAGTGACATGTATTCATAGACAGCGTCCTCAACCTGAAGCTGTGTAAAACTAACCTGTGATGAAAGCGCAGTCTTGTGCCTGCCTTGTCAGCAGTTTGTGGGGAGAGGACTTAGTGGCGCCGATTTATCAGTTTGCATTAAGGCAGCCGTGACTAGAGGCTTTCCACCATCAGTGTGTGAAAGGGTGAATGACTGAACAGTTTGAAGCACTGTTGGCTCCTTAGACTGGATAAAAACATTGGACTGTCTGCAGTTTGTAAAAAAAAGTTTTATCATCAATGCTTGATATTCCCGTTGATCTATCATACTATACACCCAAATAAAATGGATTAACTTGTAAGTTTATTGGAAATCTGGAAAATTTGAATAAAGCAGATTTTAGCTTTAAAGTAAAGTTTGATCCCAAAATAATAGCAGATAAAAACAATAGCAATTATACGGACTTTTGGAAAAAAAAAAAAAAAAAAAAAGATCTAATAACACAAACCAGAAGAACATGTTCAGCTACTAAATTGTATTCTTGCATTTCTGTTGTAGTTATAACTTGGGCAGTGGTGCGGCTAACATTGTTGTCAATGGAACATTTAGTGATGGAAAGTGGCACAGAGTCAAGGCTGTAAGGTAACATATAAATAAGGAAAACCGTTTTTATGCATTGATGTATTTTTGACTATCATCATAATCATATTTTGCTCAAAAATATGTTTGGCTAATTTATTTTTTTTAGAGATGGCCAATCAGGAAAGCTGACGGTTGATGATTACGGAGCCAAGACAGGAAGGGCACCTGGCAAGATGAGACAACTAAATATAAATGGACCCTTATATGTGGGTAGGTGGTGTATATCCTCTCAACATCACTATTGTTTCCTGTAATTCAATATTTTCCCCTTTTATTACTTGCTTTAATTCACATTTTAACAATAGGTGGCATGAAAGAGATCGCCCTTCAAACAAACAGACAGTACCTGGGGGGACTGGTGGGTTGCGTGTCACATTTCACGCTCTCCACTGACTATCACTTAGCTTTGGTAGAGGACGCAGCTGATGGCAAGAACATCAACACCTGCTCCAACTGAAGGATTTTTTTCACAAGAGGCTCAATTTTTAACATGTTTTCCAACTGGATCTGTCAACCTGAATCTGAGTAAACCAAAGCAGTAAAAATTAATGTGTTTATTTTTTATTATTTTTTATTAGATTAAAGGGTGTGCGTTGAGAGCACCCTGAAAATAAGAACAGTTATGTCATATGAATGTTCTCATGATCTCTCTGCTGAGATATAGTTTATTGTAATTTCTTTAAAACTTACTGTTCTGAAAAAAAGCAGACTTCAAAGGCACAAGTGCTTTGTCTAAAGACACGTGTTGGTGGTCAATTATGTTCTTTGTAAAAATTTAGCAAATATGTCAATCCATGAGGGAAAGAAAACTTTTTTGGGAGACAATTTCAAAAACATGTTTACTTTCTTTGAAAGCCTTCTTTGATTGCTGGAAGAACCGAATTACACAAATGGAGAAAATTCACCATGAACTTGAGCAGCTGACAAAACCTTTTTTCCAGATTTTAGTTTTGACCCTTTAGGACATTTGTTGTCTAAGGTGTAATAGTTGTTTTCTTGTATGAAGTGTTTTGTCATTAGATCCGTACATTTTGTAAAGTAACGTTTTATCATGTTTTTATTTTTAGAGGGTTTAGTTTTATACAGTAATGAGGTCAACTGCTTGTAAAAGTCCCCCCTCCCTCCTTTAGCCTACTTATCCTTCATTTGGATCTTTCAGGTTTAGTCACATGAAACTCTGATCTGGACACATGGTTTATTTTGGTGGGAATGTGAGAGGTATTGCTGTCACATGACAAACCACATTTAATAAGTTGTCCAGCCATTAAATTTCATTTGTTATACTGTCTTTGACACTAGTAAAAAAAATCTTATGTAAATGTTGCATCTATATATGATTCTAAGTATTTTCTTTATGCTGTAAAAGCACATTTACTTTTCAAATACAGTGTAAGGCTTGTCTCAATTTAGATTAAGACTACACCATGAAAATGAGAATCTGCCAGACCATGGATGGTTCTGTAGGCTCATGGGCGAGTCCAGAAAGTTTCACTGTACCGAATATTTTTAGCATGCCAAAACATCTGTGGGGACATCATGGTGGCAGCACATGCATGGAGCATGGAGCAGACTGATAGCAGCCATTGAAACTTGCCCTTGATGTGTTAGCGCCTAGAATTTTAAAGAAATTGGTTATATATTGGTATATAATATTGGTTAAAGGCTACAACACAATCGCTCTCAATTTGAGCTGTCATTGCTTTCAAGTATATAACACGGTGACACATTTGCTCCACACGTTGCCTCAAGTTGAAACCAAAATAAGCAATTTCAATTAACAGAGGCCTATCATCACGTCAATTGTTTCCAGAGCCCAGTAGATGGCATGGACAGAAGACAGCTGCTCGCATTAGAGAAGCCTGCACACCTCCAACTTTCTAGTAAGCTTTTTTACTGGAGTTGAAACTGTGTCTGCCACATTGGCAAATAGAAGTCCATGTTTATTTATTATAGGAAAAAAAAAAAGGTTTTAATTATTTTAATTAACTAATGACTATTTTGAGTTATGTGTCCAGAGTGAAAAAAAGAGATGCAAAAAATACACAGGAAAAAAATGGTATAAATAATACTGATAAGCTTTATAAAAAAAAATAGCAATAGCATTTTCATATTCACAGGAATCTGGAACTTTCAAGCTCCTATATCATACTTTTTAAACCTTTCAAAGTAAACCAACTTCAAATATTTCATGAAATGATGCCTTTAGCACTACAGAGTATTCATCCGTTGTGAAATATAGTTGTTTTCATCCAACTATGAACCAAAATAATTGCCTTCAAAGAGGCAGTCCCTCCAATCATAATGTTGCCTTCCAATCACACAGCTGAAGTTTGAACAAAGTTAGACACCTCTTGAGGCCATAAAAACAGATTTTCAAGACTAAGACATGAACTAAACAAAGGAAAGGCTTCACAACTTTCCTTTCAAAGGGTCACAACTTTTAAAAAAGCCACCTAGAGCAGGAATCCTCACATTCTTCCTCTCATCACCCCTATCTGATTAGAGAAACACTGTGGAAGGAGATATTGCTGTGTATATATTCTCTATCCACTTGTTTACAGAGCACAGGGAGGGGATGTAGAACTCATCAGGTTTACTGCGAGATGCATGAATCAAGCAAAATACACTTTTTGTCCAGGGTTTTGATAAGGAAAGCTCTCATTTGTAAAGTCAAATTTAGTAAACATTGCTCCATGATGTGACACCCATGGCTTTAGCGATGTAGTAAGATGGCTTAAAAGGAAGAGGTGGTAAAACCTCTTTATCGGGTAGTGTGGATCGGTGCAATCAATGACAGGCTTCAGTCTGGAAAAAGGTTTTTAAAATTGGACTGCATTTTCTTTCCTTTGCATTTGCATCAAATTCTAAACTCTACTGTTTTTCTTGAATGATCATTTCCCCTCAGTTTGTTCTCTCCAAGATTATGTTTATGGCAGAGCCATTATCAGTTAACCATATAATTTATTTTTGCAAAACATGAAATAGTTCTCCTACTGATGTTAAAATGACCAAAAGAAAGGCACTTATTAAGATATAGGTCAAGTGTATATAACTGTAGAAGGTGAGTGTAAGTCCAGATGGGTACAGAATGTTCATTAGGCCTCATTAAATAATTAGGATATCTGTATAGACTTAATTGTGCGTGATCCTAGGCAGTAGTAACATTTTAGTGAGCATGTATTGTCTCTGTAGGTCAAGGTTGGATTTATTTTTGCTGCCCACTTTGAAAATATTTTTGTATAATTATTTTGCTCTGTTAAAGTTTGTGCTTTATCCTATTTTTAAAAGAACTATAAATTTGACTGGGTTTGTAGTTTTGAAAATGTAATTAATAGCTACGCCTCAAACCACTCATCACCACTCAATAACATAAAAAAAAAAGGCCTCAAATTCTTTCTATTGATAGCAATGAGGGTAGGCTTTTCAACAAGTGTATTATTTCAGGACCTTTTTTTTTTTTTTTTACAAAAAGCACAGTTTGTAATTAATATCATTAAGTTTTCTTCAAAAACTCTATTGCAGTAAATATTTGTACTTGGTTAAAGGCGAATATGTTAAAAATGACAAAGACCTACCTTTCTTCTGCAGCGTGTGACATTAAGACCTGTTGTTTGAACTTACTATTTAACTCTTTAATGTTTCTCTAAGTTGTGGGAAGTGTAACCTGGTGAACCGAGCAGAGCTGTCATGTTCTGAGAAGTCTGCTGGTACCTGGTTTGAAATCCCATAGATGCCACTTCTAATGAAAGATTGTTACCCCGCGGGTGCTGCAAACTGCTCACTGCTACCTACAGGATGGGTTAAAAGCAAATTTTACTGTAAAGCACATTTGCAATTACCAATAAAGTTTATTATACTTGTCTTAAATCATTCAATATGCCTGATTTCAGTTTATATCTTTAGAAATGAATCTGGGTGTATGGAAATTTTTTAATACTGTTGTGCTTTTGCCTACTCTGGAATTATATTTTGCTTCGAAGAGTTATGGCCAAAGGTTCTCAGATTTACCAATCTTGTGTTACACAAACTTTACTTGTTCAAAAAAAAAAAATCACTAATTCTTGGCACCTATTATAATGCATCAAAAAAACTGAAATGACTTGCTTTGTTTAATTTACTTTGTCAGACTTGCCATACATACCAAATGTTTCAACCAAATGAAAATAGCATTGCTCACAGACCAATGTTGCACCAAACAAGCAAATGTGTAAGAATAGAAGTTGTTACTTAAATTTTTATGAGCTGAACCCAAAGGTCTAACCTCTTTTTATGTAAACAAAGGGTCTGTATTTCTCAAATAATGTTCCTAAATCCGTGTCAATGAGCATTTCTCCTTAGTTGAAAAAAATCCAGCTCACAGGTGTTGCATATAAAGATGGTGATTACTTGCATATCCCAATCAAAGGCCAAATCAAAGGCTGTGTCCAAATGTTAGGGTTAACACTCGGACCCCATTTTAAACCCTATATAGAGCACTATATAGGGGTTAGGTCATTTTACATGAGTATCCAATTGTTTAGTGCAGCGGTGCTCAAGTTCAGTGCTCAAGTTCAGTCCTCAAGAGCTACTATCCTGCAACTATTTGATGCAACCGTTTTTAACACACCTGATTCAAATGAGTGGCTCGTTACCACGCCTCTGCTGAGCTAAAGGAGGGGATTGAGGCTTTAGATTCAGGTGTGCTAGAGAAGAGATTCATCTAAAAGTTACAGGATGGTAGCTCTTGAGGACTGCATTTGAGCACCCCTGGTCTAGTGGATGAAAAAGTAGTGAACTTGAAATGCCCCACAATGCCCCTTTTAAAATTGTTCATTTATTGTCAATAGATGAGCAGATATATCCCAGAATGCTTTGCAAGAGCTCTCCTCAAAAACCATCATAGGAATTGTAGTGATCATCCGTCCGAACGACCAGTTAATCAAGTTCACTATGACGTCCACTTTATAGCCCTCGCTCAACATAGTGATTGAGGGGTGAGGGGATAGGGTGGAAGTTCTGACACAGGCAGAGTCTCTAGAAGGCTAATATTACATATGTAAACACACCACTGTTAAATAATGCTGTATCTAACTTTAGTCATGTGTTTACAAAAGACATGAAAGACAATATCTCCTCTAATTCTTTTCTCTAATTTCATTTTTTTTTGCATCCCATTTATGTATTTTGGAGTTCAAATTTTTCATATCTGCAGCAATTTTTTCTGTTTACTCGTTTGCCTCAGTAAGATACCATATTCTAGTCTAAACTTTATATTACTTTACCAAGCAGGAGCTTGCCTAACCAAAAAATGTGTGACAAAAGAGAAAAAAAACAAAAGATTGATGAGGAAAGAATAGCCTCTGCAGCTGTATGTGCCACCATTGTAGTCACCTTCTAATTGACAGCTACATTTTCTTTAAGCTCGAACCCAGATTGACCTGCAAACTTAACTTCAATAAATTCATAGTTGGATCAGGCAAAAGGTTAATTATGTCAAGGCTGATGTCATGGCATCACTCTGGATTTTTAAGTAACTTAGACCAGTAGCATGGTCAATTTGAAAATTTGTTTCCTTGTTTCAACCGTGATTACTTTCAAGTAACATGGATTGTTCTCACTGTCTTAATTTAAAATGGCTTCTAGAATCGAAACCGTGTTTGGCTACAACTGTATTTTAAGTTAGTGCCTGATTAAGTCACAAGACAAAACTGAAGTGTTTGTAACAAATTTATATCTATAAAGACAATGACAGATACAAAACACATTTGATTTTTTTTTTGTTTCACGATTGCTGAGTGTTTGATAGTAATAGAGTTCCTTGATATTAACAGAGTCGAACACAAATGTCATGATGGATCAAAGGAGCAAACCCATATGCAGAACACACATGGAGGAGGCAGGGAAAAAGTTCAAAGGTTTATTAAAAGTTCTGAACATGAGATCATAAACAAGTTCTGAGACTGGTTCACTGAAGTCTTGACTGGGGCCAGAGACTGTTGGTTAGCAGAGTTCATGAGAAGCTAAGCGTCTAGCTTCAGGCTTAGCATGGCAGACCTTGATCTGAGCTTCCAGCTCATTGCAGAGAACAACAGGGAATATCCACATAGGATTCTTCAGGCTGAGCTTCCAGCTCATTGCAGAGAACAACAGGGAATATCCACATAGGATTCTTCAGGCTGAGCTTCCAGCTCATTGCAGAGAACAGGGAATATCCACATAGGATTCTTCAGGCTGAGCTTCCAGCTCATTGCAGAGAACAGGGAATATCCACATAGGATTCTTCAGGCTGAGCTTCCAGCTCATTGCAGAGAACAACAGGGAATATCCACATAGGATTCTTCAGGCTGAGCTTCCAGCTCATTGCAGAGAACAGGGAATATCCACATGGGATTCTTCAGGCTGATTCCACATAGGAATCTTCAGGTAAACTCCACATAGAAGTCTTCAGGTTAAATCCACATAGGAATCTTCAGGTTGGCTCACCAGGGCAGATTAGCAGTTTAGGCTCACCTAGAGCTTCAGGCTAGAGACAGGTTTCCTGTGAAGCAGCTCTCCCAGAGCTTCAGGCTAGAGACAGGTTTCCTGTGAAGCAGCTCTCCCAGAGCTTCAGGCCAGAGACAGGTTTCCAGTGAGGCAGCTCACCCAGAGCTTTAGACTAGCGACAGGTTTCCTGTGAGGCACATACAAAGGAGAGATTAGAATCTGATCTCACACTTGAGACAACTAAGATTCAATCAGTAACAGAGGCTCAGGTAGCTAACCAAACTAAGATCAACACTGCGGCGTGGAAGCAAGGTCAGGCAGGAGCTTATAAAGGGGAGGTCTCCTGATGAGTAGATGCATAACAGGTGTGCTGGAAGACTCCAGCCCTAGGAGACCCACGGCGCACTCTGCTGGAGACAGAGGGTAATCTCCAGATCCCAACAGTAATTCCAGTCCTAAAAGACAACAACAAGAGAGAGAAGAGGATCCTCGGCGCCCTCTGGTGGGCAAGCCTGAGGATCCCAACAACAAGTCTCTAATATTTGATATGCTTTCCACTGGCTCTTTTAAAATAGATTTAAATAAATTCTCAGGGGTCACAGTAGAATGAAATGTCAGAAATACATAAGTCACCTGAAAAACAACAGATCTGAAACAAAGGTGTGTATTGTAAGAAAAACTGTATTGTAAACCACTTTACCACAAACAAAAAGGTAATTTATACAAAATACATAATATAAGATATATAAATACATTTTGATAGAAAAGTGGTGTGCAGATGTTTTATTTTATTTTGAAACAATTTCAATACTGCTAATATCAGTCACAAAAAAAAAGTACTAGGCTTGACATTCCATTTCAACCTTATGTGATGGAGTATTTGTATACACAGAGTGTATACAAAGCGAAATTTTATTTATACAGAGTGTATACAAAGCGAAATTTTATTTATACAGAGTGTATACAAAGCGAAATTTCATTAAGCGTTTCAGACAGTAAATTAACATTTCCTTTCCATTAAGTGCAGCAGTGATCGAATGTAAACAGTGTGGGGATTTAGGCTTTTGAAAAAACATTGGGTCTAAAATGAGTCTTTCTGGATGTACAGTGTTGTAAGTACTTGTTAATTTAAAATAGCATATGCTTCAGAATGCTACCACTAATTCAATCATTTCTTAACTGCATTGCTTAGGTAGATTAGATCAAATCTTAAGCAGTGGTGGTGGTGATTGTTTTTAAAAATGCTGGCCTGAGACATGTCTTCCTGCTTTCATAGTGGCATCATATTATATTTTATTATCATTGTTTAAAATGAGAGTTCTGCACTTCATCAAGATTTCACTAAAACATTTGACCCAATAACAGAATTGAACACTTTTATTAAGATCAAACTATTTGGTCATCCACATCTTATCACAGTTTAGGGATAAAAGTCACACCATAAGATTTGTTAAAGATATGCTAAAATATTAATAGAGAGCAAAAAAGTTCTTTTTCTTCAAGGACAGAAAAATGGGAGATATTTTTATGTTATATTATTCATGTGCAAGTCACAAGTTAGCTACACTTAGATGACCATTCTTTCAACATAGGGAACATAATGATTCCTTTGTAAGGTTCTGATTTACCAGATATTACACACCTGTGAATGTATTTGGAGGTAAAAATTCAAACCAACTGTTTCCATGTATGACATCATTAAGAAATCTTAAAAAAAGGACAAGATTGCTAGAAGAGATTTAGAGAGCTTCCAAAAGATTGGTTGTTACTGGGGTGCAAACTCAAGGTTCCTGAGAGTGCAACTGTTCAAGAATGCTGTATTAATTACAGTAACACACAGAGTGTCAAAATCTGAAAAAAAAAAAAAGACTTAGAAATGGAAAAGCCATCACTTCATAAAATGACAGATATCAATTTGCCACCGCACAAAGATCATACCCTAAAGTCCCATAAAACCCGATGTGAAATTTGAAGGAAAAAAAGCCAAGATTTTTAGCCTTAGAACATCATCTTTATTGATGTTACCCCATCTGTCAATCAATCCAGTAAGATAATCAGCAACTGACCATAAGCGAACATGGTTTTTCCTTAAGTAAAATACCTCTTACCTGCAGGAGCTGCAGACTTTATCTCTTCAAAAACATTTATATATATATATATATTTTTATATATATATATATATTTTTATATATATATATATATATATATATATATATATATATACAGTATATATATATAAAATATATAAAAAAACAAAACAAAACAAACAAAACAAAAAAAAAATATATATATATTTATTTTTTTTAATATATTTTTTATATTATATTTTTTATTTTTTATTTTACTGCATTCATAACTACATTGGGGCATTTTCATGTGTTCATGATAATTATGGAGTTTTATCTGTAATCTTTAGTCTTCTAAGTTACACTTTTTGTGTAACTTAGAAGACTTAATTTTTTGTGTACTTTTTGTACACAAAAAATTAAGCTTAAAAAGCAGGGCATTTCTTACGAGGTTGTGAAATAACCTTGGAAAAAAACAGAGCGCTCTACACACATAGTCACAGGACCTTGACAGTGCAGGGAAAAGGAATTAGTTAGCGTGCAATGCTTCTGTAATCCAATTGAACAAGACATAATTTTTTGGCATAAGAATGATAATGCAAAAATACACAAATTAATAAATCTTTCCATTATAAAATTATAGAAAAAATCCATACTCATTTTTAAACAGAAGAAAACCATCCATGCATGCATTCATACTTAGTTGCTTATATATGCAGGGTCCCTGAGAGCTGGTATCTTCTCTCATAAGATAAGAAGTGGATGAAAAGTGGTCCTTAGACCAGGGGTCTGCAACCTTTACAATCCAACCTTTAGTCCAGCTAATAAAACTAATTTAGAGCAGCAAATATTATATTACCCTTTTCTTACAAAAATAAAAAGATAACTTACATTTAATCCCTATCTACCACAGGAAATGTGTCCTTTTTAAATAACCACAGAACTATTTTAAATTAAGGTTTTAAAATTTAGAAACAAATTTACTGACTTAGACCAACTTTATTGTAATTTTGTACACACAGAGTGTATACAAACAAAATTTTGCCCAGTACAGCTCTTAAGACATTTCCATTTCTTAAGTGCAGCAGTGATAAAATGTGAACTTGTAGTGGATTGCTGATACTTTTGAAAAATCTTGTGAAATAAATAATCATTTTCCCACTTTATAAAAGATCAAAAAGTATATTTCTGTTAGATTAATTTTTTTGTGTAAATCCAATACAATTAGTCAGAGGATAACTTTGATATGCGTTTGTTAGTATGCATTTTTTTTAATATAGCTTTTGCTAAAATAAAATTTAGCTGGCACTTCATTGTTTTTAACCAAAATAATAAAGAGCTATGGTTGCGTGGATCAAGAGACAAATGCGGCTCCGGAGCCACATGTTGCAGACCCTTGCCCTTAACCATCACAGGACAACACAGAGCCACAAACTATGGATGACGCATGTCTTCACTCATTCATACTGAGCTAAAGAATCAATATACATATTGACTGTAGTTAAAGGCCAGAGTACCTGTAGAAAACTGAACCAGACTGAATTCTAAATTTGTCCATATTTATGTTAAGGATAGATTGTATATATTTTTAAATTCAATTAAAAATTTACATCAATAAACATAAATAAAAAAAAAACAATATTTAGCCATTTGCATATTTCTTCAAATTGAAAAAAAATATTACAGTATCAACAATTTACCCACTGTGGGATAATAAAGGGATATTCTATTCTATTAATCCTAGCAAGAAATTCATGCAAAGTTATAAAAGGGCTTATTTTTATGAGTCTTTCAGTGGATGGATTAGTGAGTGTATGCACAACATAGCCTCAAACCATAATGTCATGTGATACCCCACAGTGGACATCCTGAAAGTAGGTTTATAGACACTTTGCTAACTTATACATCTAAAGAGACTTTGCTTAGGAAACCAAACAAGATATAGTAGCTTCTTCTAGCGGTTACATTCTATGTGATCAAGCAGGTTTTTTCCCCCAGAATTATCTTTCAGCAATTTATATTCTTTGCACTGTTCATCTGTTGGAGATGGGCTCCAGTTTTGATAAATAAATAAGTCTTAATGCAATAAAACCTTTGTTGCACTGGAAAAAATCGAAATCTAGATAAGTATTTTTTTTTTCTTAAAACAAACGCATTTTTTCTTGGATAGAGGAGGAAAAATAGACATTTTGCCAATGGAACAAGACAATTTACATTTAAAATAAGAAAACACAATTGGATTGTCTTATTTCAGGTGCATTTTATCTAATTATGTTATTTTAAGAGTAAAAATACTCATTCCATTGGCAAACTATCACATTTACCTACTCAAATTAAGGGTAAATACACTTATTTAGGAAATTTTAAAGCTTAAGTGTGTAATTTTCAGCGACATCTAACGTCCAGACTGCAGACCGCAGCAACATGAACATCTTCCCCCCACCGCTTCTCCCCCCCAACAGTACGGCGAGCGTTACGGGACAAAATGTCTTCCACGACGTCCGCATCACCTACCTTCTCAAGTGATGAGGTTTGTTTACATAGATTATTTTACAGATAGTATTTAATTAGTCTGTGTAGGGTATAGATTTCAGTACCGTCTCAGTTCATCTCTCTCAACTTGCCGTAGTTACTTTCGAGCGTAATGGGCGATCTCGCCATTGCTAGTTTGTTGGCTCTGCGCTGCCGTAGCGCAAAGATGTCTGCCTCCATGGCTGCGAGACCCGCTCCTATGTAATTATAAATAACGAATTCTAAGGCAACGCAAATATTAAGGTTAAGAGGCTGAGCAGATGATGTAGATGAGTAGATGATGATAAATAACATAGTTATGTATAATATATTACATTTCTGACTGTATATCCCTGTAATTATTACACACTGTAGCTTTAACTTATTTCTAGATCGTTTTTTCCAGTGTGTACATATTTATTTATTAGTCTGTGCCACTTTCTACATAAACTCATTTTATTTAAAAAAAAAGTTTACAGGCTTTTTTTTTACTTTCCATATTTGGATGAAACATTTGCCGATTTTGTTTGTGGTAGCAGCCTCTGGGGTTTTGTATGCTCAGTATGAGAAAAACAGAGTGCTTTTGTGTGGTGATAAAAAGCATTTCTGTCACATTATCTCTTTTCAAGAAATCAAGCAGTCAAAAATCGCATTTCATGGTTGAGTCATGCCCAAAGATAAAGTCTAGGCCGTATGACTCAGCAAATTGAGTTTATAAAAGTTCCTCTTGTGACAGAATTGTACTCAGATAGATCCCCACAATGTTGCTGCTTGGTCTGTTAACCTTACAAGTGCTCTGCTTTGTGGACTGCTACCCCAATGGGGCTCCCACTGGTGCTTGTGAGGATATGATGCCTCGGCATGCAGGAGTTTCACCTCAGACATCTCCAGCTCCCTACACAATTCTCACCAACACCAAGAAGTATCAGCCTGGAATGCCTGTTACAGGTAAGATAACCACAGTCCCAAATAAGAAGGGAGTACAGCATCTGTTAGTAATCTGCGTCTCATTTAAAAAAATCATTGAAAAATATGTCAGAGAAAAACTATATAAAAAAAACATGTTTGGTTTGGGTAACTCCTGTTTTGTTATGCTCCCCTGCAGTCACTATTATAGGACCCGAATACAGAGGAGTGCTTCTGGAAGCCCGGAGAAAAGGCTTCAATGACGCTTATGGAAGCTGGAAACACCCTCCCCCAGACACCAAATTCCTCCAGGTGCTTTCGACTTCTAAATCAAGGCTAAATAAAAGGCAGTGGAAGGCAGGAAAAAAAATCTGTTACTGAGAATGCATTAAATCAGTGTTTTATAACTATATGTGCAAGCTCAGAAACCGCACTTGATTGCTCAATTTGCACTAAAGATCTGACTATTACTGTTTTACTTTAAAAAAACAATTTTACAATGAAGTTATTGCAAGTTTAGCTTCAGTCATGTTGAAATAGAATACCTGATGTTATTTGCTAGATCAGGGGAAGGGCTATTTGTTGCATTAGAGAAACAAACAGCCTTTGGCGCCACTAATGTGTTAAATAATGAATGCTGTGCACCTATGAAGAATACTATATCCCCACCCTGACACTAGGTAAATTTTGTCCAGAACCACAACTGGTTGTAAGATTTATTCAGATGGTATCCACAAATCCTTCAAATGAATTGTATATAAAATATCATAAGACAGAAATTTTGTTGTAACTTGTATTTTTTATACTGGCAGTGCTCAGGAAACCCACAAGGTGCAATAACTCATGCCAACACCAACCTGAAGGGTAACACCACGGTCTACACCTGGATACCACATGACACTATGCACCCTGTGTATTTTATGTAAAGCCATTTTATTGTTTTATAATATTTAATTAAAAATATATCTCTGTTTTCACCTTTTTTTTTCTTGCATATAACCTGTCTTTTTACTTGTTTTGTTCTTCAGGGCCACAGTGGCTCAGCAGCGCACCATCTACTGGCTAAATGTGATGTCCAGCACGCTGACCAATGGTAGGTGGAGCACAGTGGATTAATGCATTTAAAAATGATAATATAAAATGAATAATTGTGTTGACTTTTACCATTTTATGATTATTAGAGAATCCGGGTGGTCTTAAGCTGGCTACAGATGCAAGTGCTGGAATGACTGAAGATAAACCTCTCCTGCTCTTTGCAATGTGTTTTTTGATGTCACAGATTCTGGGATAAACACTAAATTTTTCCTTCTTTGGCATTTCCTGGCTGTTTTTGTGCATTAAAGTGAAATATACCAAGGAAATTTGACTTGATTAACACTTAATAAATACCTGCAGTATTGTTACATATGAATCAGTCATTCATGTTTTGCTCTGAATAGAAGGAATCATGATCATAATGTTAACAAAATAATATTTGAATAGTTAACCACGCTATAAGCTATATTGCTTTTTTCCAAAAGCAGGCAAAAAGACAAAAACAGAAACATGGATTGACAGGGAAAAACTGGGTTATCCGTGACATGCATAAATCTAACTGTGGCTGTTTGTTATTGACTTAATTTCATTTCAAGTATTGAAGAGCTTGTAATGACCTGCTTTTTCCACATGGTTTGATCTCTAACCTAGATTTCTGGCATGATGGTGAACAGAAATACTAAAGAGGCTTAAAACTTGCATCACATGTGTCTTTTGAAGTTTAACATCCCACATTCTCTGCATCACGCCACTGTTACTGGCTGTTTTATGCACTTGAAATCTGATGAGGAAAAATAAACAAATTTAACTATAATTTGAAAGCCACCTAATCCTTTAAATCTTTTAATAGGAAGAACCTTTACATTGATGAAACAGAGAACAAAGCACCAGTTATACTGAGGATAGAATTGCAAGACTATTATATAAATCACAAAGCTTCTTGGTCTGGATTTTAAGTTGTTAAATTAAAAAACCGGCAGTTTTAGTAGTTTACTGTGCCTATTTCAACAGGAAAATTTGTCTCTGCATTTGAAAGATGCTATGAAAGTTGAAGGGTATGTTAGGTTGACATATAAAGTGTGTGAGTGAGGCGTAATAAACAAAAAATAACAAGGGTACTAACAAAATGGATGGTATCAAAAGAGAAAAGTTTAATACAAAAATAAGAAAACTTACCAAAAGACACAGGATGCAAGTAACACGTATAAAGCTAAACACAAAGGGACTAAATATTAGAGCCAAACAACAATGAAGAATAACAGAGAACTGAATATGAAAAATTCAATTTAAAATGGATAAAATTTAATTTTTAAACAGAAAATCTAAAAAGTAAAACACAAAATATAAAAGAGAACATAAATCAGAATTGGCTCCTCCTTTCTTCCTTAAAGCTGATAAGAAATGTTAAGATGCCCTAATACATTATAATCTATTTACAGTACCTTTTATAAATGGTTTAGATGCAGTTTATCAATGATTGTTAAACTTAACATACTATCTGTTAATCATTAGTGAATGTTCTCTTTATCTTTACAAATCATGGTTTTTGTAAAGTTCAACCATTGTTCCTTTCTATTTAAATGCTCTGTTGTATCTATCTTGCTATCTTGTAAAGTGCTTTGAGGTGACATCTGTTGTTAATAGGCTATTTTGTCCATAAAATGAATAACTGAGCTGAATTGAATCCACTGAAAAACTGTGAAGTCTGATACCTTTGAACATCAGGGTAAAAATGGTGATTAAATAAAAAAGAAAAACGATAACGTGTATAAAGCAAGAATTCATTTGTTTCTATTTTGTCAAAAGCAGTTACCCCCATCGTAAAAAATTACAGGCATATCAAAAAACATTTTTAACCTCCTCCCTTGGTCTCCGGTTTGATAAGCCTCCAAGATACTGCACTTAGAATACAGTCATTGGGGCCATTTCTTTAAAAAAAATCTTTACTCTATACACTGACATTTACGAAACTGCAATCACTAATTTTATCCTTGGTAGTGCTCTGGTTGCTCTGGTTCTCTAATTCAAAAGATATAAAACAACAATCGTTGACCACTTTTGTTTAGACTATATTCTATTTTATCTTTTCATGTTTTATTTTCTTTCTTTGTTTTATGAATGCACTTTTTTTTTTTCGTTCTGTAGATCAATATAACTCACTGGGGCTTCAAGCCAGCACAGAAAAGTAAAGGATGACTCGACAAATTAAAAAAATCTCAAGTTCACTTTTAAGACTTGCAAATGTAAAATTCTTTAGACTGATAATTAAATTGATACAAAGAATGTTTAATCAACAGACTCATCCCTTTGAAACATGCTTTTTTGACAGACAATGCTGCTTTATGTCTCTGTCTAGTGAAACATTGATTTCCAAAAGCTTACATGCCCGCGGTTGCAGCTAATGTCAGAAAGCAGTCAATTATAATTAGTCTCATTGCTCTGCGTGCTAGCCATTTATTTAACAGTGATTCAGGCTAAAAGTGCACCAGATTCACCAGCTAGTTTATTGGTTAATAACTCATTGATACTGTATGTGAAACACTACACCACAGCATTGATGCTCTTTGTATGGCAAACTAGTGATGGCATTATCTGTGATGTAAACAAAAATGCACAATGCAAACAAGGACAATACAGAGTAATGTGTTACCACAACAACTGAATGGAAAAGTTATGGTTTTTTATTCACTTTATTAATTTCTTACTATAAAATATTTTCTGATGGCGAAACCTTATATGATCCTTTAGGAGCATTATGTTATTTAAAAGACTCTTGCTGTTTTTGTAAAATATCTTCAGCATAACTGATTACATGAGAGTAGATAAGCTAATTTATCAGTGAGTTCTTAATTCTTGCTGAGTCATGCTGCACAAGTGCTACAGGATTAAAGTGGAGCATTGCCTGTGATATAAATAAGTCGACACAATTTGACACACAACACACACACACACACACACACACACACACACACACACACACACACACACACACACACACACACACATATATATATATACACTTTATGTGTTGCTTTCATTTTTCATTTCGTTTTAGAAATGAAATAGATTTTTCCCCAATAGGTTCTACGTAAAATGTAGTTAGTAACAGATTACCTTTCTAAAGCCATAGATATTAGCTTGGCATTATAATGTATTTTAGATTGCTTCATATAACTGATTTTAATATGTTTTTACAGACACTTGGATCCATCATAGGGTGTAAAAGAGTAGCGCTTCGCTGTTTTAAAGAAATTATACCAGATTTATTTTTTCTAAACACGATTCTAAAAAAAAAAAAGAACTAGACTTCAACTCTTAAGGCCCTTGCTAAATGAGAAGGCAAGTGCAGAATGGAAAAGAGCTCTGAATGAGAACACCAACAAGGTGTTATCTGTTTGATTAACTTGATGTTAAAGTGAGATGTCCAAGACTATCTAAATGTGCATGTGATTATCTAATTATCCAAACTACAGACAGTTCCAGTTGTCAGCACAGACACATATAAAAGTTACAGTTATCCTTAGCGAAAGACCATTCACAGTGTGATCGCTTCTGGAGTAAATGAGCCAGGAGAGTTTGTCTTATTATTGCCTTTCCATTACCTAGTTGGGGATTTAGAAGCCCACTCAACCTGAATCTGGTACAGTGTGAAGTTTCTTGCTGTTAAAATAGAGTTGTTCCTCCCTAATGTCACCCTTTACATTTCCATGACAAGACATTGGAAAGAAGCTGATTCATGCAATTTTTTATCACTCTTCCACAGACTTTTTGACTAGTTGTTCAGAGATCTTTTTTTTTTTTAAACGTAATGTAAACCTGTTGATTTGGACACTTTCCATTTAACTGTGATATGACCAGGTTTGAATTAAGCTGACTGAAATCCTACTCAAGCAGGATTTACTTATGTTTGTGTGTGTGTATATAATTATATGGCTTTTTATAATAAATACCATGAGATTAGATTTTTTTTTAAATCATTTGGCTTTATAAATGTAATGGAACTAAACTGAATAGTGAGTGCCACTTCGTGTGCTGCAGCAACAGGTTTATTGATGCATAATTCCAAGCTGACACACAAATATAAAAACAGCAGCTGTGAGAGGCTCAGTGAAAGTGGCAACTTTAATCCCCAACATGCATCTGTCCATCTACTTTGTGATAAGTAGTGCACAAGCTCATACAAGTGCACAAATACACATGTATGATGTGGAAAACAAACAGCAAAAAAAAAAAAAAAAAAAAAACATGCAAAAATATAGCATAGCACATTTAGAGGCACATTGTAGTGAAGTTCTTTTTTAAGACAGATCAAACACTCATCCACATGCATGAACACTGTTCAGATTAAGGCTTCTTTTTGCTTAAGGGGCTTAGTTGACATCTCTGTCTGAGCTCTGCATTCTTTGTCTTCCTCTGTTCTCTTCATCTCCGTTTATTAAAAATGTCCAGCACCATAAAAAGCAATGACTGGCCGATAGGCTCTTTTGACCCTTGTGCAGCTGACAGTTGTACAACAAACTCATTACAATTTGCTCATCTTTGCTTGAAGAGTGGTCGCAGAGAATCACAGTTATTGTCTTGGAAATATTTTTTTCCCCATTCTACAAATAATTAGGATTGATCAATACATTTAGACATGGATACTATATTTAATTGTGTTAAATAAATGAATTTGTTTCTATTAATGTGCTAAATGGTATGGATAAAATTTTGTTAAATTGTGATTTATCTAAAAGTAAAAAAAAATGATTGTGCAGCATGTCTAGGTTGTATTTGAAATATATGCATTATAGTTACACACGAGTAATTGCTATTTATATAGTGGTAGTTTACCCTAAACCAACTTGCTTTTCTATATTTTTAAGAAGCAGTTCCTCGGCACTAAGGGATGATTGCCTTGCTAAATGAATTATTTCTAGTACAAGAATTCTCAGCATCACAATCCATCTCTTTCAATGAAAAATAATATCATGCAACAATAATAAAATGTCTGATGGATTTCTGAGCTTAAGTGGCTCTTGATACTTGCTTTAATCAACATTTCAGTTATGTAAGACCGTGGTAGTTAAAGCGCTCAGGGCTGGGCCATATTACATGGCAGTGGGGGTGGGAGCTAGAGTGATGTGAGAAAGACAGAGTGAATTGCATCCCAGAGCAACATGGGACAGTGGAGGAGATGAACAGATAAAAAGAGACGAGAGGTTGGAGCTTTGAATACAGCTGGTGTGATGACTGATGGGGTCTCAGGCAAAAGAGGAGGGGACTGACAGTGACATTGTGGAACAAGGGTGGGATTTATTGTGCTGGAAGAAAATAATTTCATTTCACCCTGTATCAACAGGAAATACTTGAGAATTACAGGTGGTAGACCAGCTTTCCAACTGCAGAGCAAAGACGGAATAACAGTGGATGGTGCAGCTTTGGAGAACATGAGGATATTTATCCCGCTCTTCATAGAATTACTGCCGTAACCATGATAGTGCAAAAAAGACCTAAGCTAACTTTTTGAGCTTGGACTCATTTTCATCCTCAGTTTTTAGGAAGTTACAGATGAATTAGAATTGGATCGTGTGGGACTGAAAATAATTTTTATATTCGAACTAATGAAAATCGAGATATCAAGATGTTATATATCACTATCATTTCAAAAGCTGTGGAGGCCCAACACTGGCAGAAAGAATGGGATTACCAACTGATATATACAGCGAGGTTGGAAATCCTACCAAGGTGTTTGAATCATGTGGTTGACTGAGAGCATGGAGCCAGAGGAAGCACACAGCAAGAGAAGCTTGTTCAGCAAGGTAGATGTGCCTGACCATGTTCACTATGTCGTTGCTTTCTTCGTATTCGTTATTGGGGCACTTGGCATCACTGGGAATGCCCTGGTGTTGTTTGCTTTCTGCAGGTGAGTCTCCAAGACTTTATGTATTCATTTTTTACCTCAGGAAATAAAAAGCAAAATATTTATTTTGCAGTGTGGGTTTGTCCGTCTCAAAAAGTCCAAAAGAGATTTAAGATTTATATCTGAGAGGAATATTTTTTTTATGATGAAAACCCATTGGAAATGTGAGAAAGAATACTGAAATAAAAACAAAACTTTGTAATAACTTTCTTATCATTGCAACAAAATAGGGTTGAAATAGTCACAAAAGAAAAAATAAATAAATAATCTTATCAGCTAAGTTGTTATAATAAATCAAAAGGGAGATATTTTAGTTCACTTTATTGCTATATACCTTTTTAGAAAAGCAGGTTATTCATAAACAAACCTTTAAATCTACAGTCTTTAAGTTAAAGCAACAGCCAGTTAAATGAGCAGTTTTAACATATTTGTATTTTTTTTCTCTTTTGCTACAAAAACCTTTAGTAGAAGACTATTTTATTACAATACAGTATCAAAGCTTAAAAACTAAAACAACTTTACAATAATTAGATATAAAAATGATAAATCTTAAATTTGATGGAAAAAAATGTTTTTTTTTTAATCCTGTGATTAAAATCTAGCAAGCATACGTCATTATGCATGCTGGAGAACTAAATTACCCTTTAATCTCTGATAAACTGAAAAAATGGCATTAAGAAAACTATTCTAAATACATATGTAGGAGCTCATTAGATTTTGTTTCATGGAAAAAAAAAAACCCCTCTATTTATTACCCTCACAGACTTCACACACCTGACATCTCTCTATCAACTGCATTTTATTAAAAGTTTAGTAATGCGGGTGTCTTCAGTACTGGTCCTTAGGACTCACGTCCCTGCACATTTTAGATGTTTCTCTACTCTAGCTAACCTAAATAAAATGATTGCTAAACTGTACCTCCTCAGTATTCACCAGGAGCTGCAGAGGCCGGTTAATCACCCATTTATTTAGGTCAGGTGTGTGGAGGCAGGGAAACATCAGAACAAGCAGAACTGTGGACTAGGATTAAAGACCTCTGCTCTAAATCATAAAAGGCTTCAAAAATTTAAGGCACTTTACCTTAAACCAGTGCAGAAAGCATTTTTAAATGACTAGTGAGTTCAATCAGCCAGGTAAGGAATTGAAGGCATCACTAAAGAAGCTGAGTCATTCTTGAGGTTGAAGTTTCAATTTGAACTCCTGGTGAAAGTGCAAGCATTATGTGTGCCATAAAATCTGGAGAAATTGTGGCTTCTCATTTGTGCTACTGTTGTTAACTGTTCCACAGAAACTGGGTCAGAGACTGTGTTTCTGTGTGCGTTTGTGTGTGTATCTTAGGGATTGTCAGTAGCTCTCATATTCCATCTGTCTATACATCGACAAATATTGTTTGGCTTCTTTCAATTTGTTGTGCAGACAATTTGAGTTCCAATAAGGAGAGAGACACATGGATAATTTCTTTAAAATCAATAATTCTTCAAAACTTTTACACATATAAACAAATTCTTATAAAAGTCTTGAGAATAGTTTTTCTTTATGGTTATAGATTAAACATCTTGTTGATATAAAGCAGGGTTTTTTTTGTCATGGAGGGAATATCTCACAAAAATCTATAAACATCAAATCTCCATGCAAAATAAAAATGTTCCTAAAATGGGAAAAAAAAAACAAAGAACTCTTAATATAGCTTAATTCGTGTTTAACTGATATATGTAATTTTATAACTTTCACTGAAAATAATAGAAAAACTAAGAACTCCTTTAAAAAAATCAATCACTGTCTTTTTACCTAGCCTCACTGATCAAAAAACAGGTACGTAGCATACTCATTGATAAAGCAAAAACAAAAGAAAACAAAACTAGAATATTTTTATTTTATCGTTAATGTCAATGCAGGTTGAGGGAGGCTATTTAATGTTTCAGACTGTCCGCCCTCAAGCTCAGACAAAAGGCTCTTTCTTACACATTATCATTATTTTAAAGTTATTTTCATGTTAGAAAATAGTGTCTCTGATAAACAACGCTTTCAGTTTTTCTTAGTAAAAAGGTTTGATATTGATAATGTAATTATATTAAGGAATTCTATCTTAACCGTGATCATTTTATTGGCCTCCTGTTAGCCAGGAGCCCTTATTGTTGTCCTAAATTTTACCTCCTTTACAGCACATCTGTATTAACAATCAAAATCTAAATGTTAACACATGAGGCTCATAATGCTTACAGTTCATCAATAAAGTTTAGTTGAACTCAGTAACTGTGAATAGTAGGATATTTATCCTGCAGTCAGAGGGTAATTAGTTTATCACCTGGTTTGTCTCAGTCTTTGGGAACCATTGTTTCTCTCAGACTACCACAGTGGCTACAGTGTAGGTTTGACTGGGAAGGGCCATTTTGAATGGCTGTTATTTGGAATCTATTTGTGCATTTCTTTTAGAAAAGAGGACTCAAATGCAATAATCATCTCAGGGAAATGAAATCAATGATCCTTTAATACGGACCAGAGTTAGCACCTTAAGTTGGAGAGACTGGCAGAAATATCTACAAAAACAGAGGCTGGTCAAAAACAAGTAAAGCAAATATTTCTTTGATGCAAGGCAGAATATATGCTGGAACTCTTGACACAAGTGGCAAAGATGAACTGGCAAAGAAAAACTGCAGAGGGAGAGGTTTAAATGGGGAAAGGCAAACAATAAGACACAGGTGAGTATTGTTTGGGAGTGGCAAGGCTGATTAAAGGGGAATCCCAGGAAGTGAAGTACTGTAGTCTGAAAAAGGAACAGAAATGTGTGGACCAAAATAAAACTAGAGCTTTAAACAACAAATGAGCAAGACACAAAATGACAAAAAAACCTTCTCTTAGGCCTACTTTTTAGGTGACCTTTTAAAAAAAAAGCAGAGCATCCCCAAAGAGTTAATCTGACTCTTCTTCAAGGAGGAGGATTAGTGCCAACACAGAGGAATGCCTGCAGACATTCAGTCAGACGAGTGATTCTTTAATTCAACTTAGGTAGATTATAAAAATATACAACCTTGAAGGTTATGAGTGCTTGATGGTGGAGGACACATAACCCATAACATTGACTTAATTCAAAATGTATTTTGGTGAGTTTCATTGACAGCTTTTTCCACTTTAGATTGCATTGTATATGAAATCTTTGTGGTATGGACCGCTTGAAATAATAACAAATAGGTTTCTTCCATCTTTGGTCATGTCAAAAAAGACAATGTTTTATAAGGAATTAATATACTGTCTGAGATATGATTCTTAACCCAGTCAAATAATACAGAGAAAACAACTGTTGTAGCCTCTTCTTTATCACAAATGAAGTTAAACAAGCTTATGATTAAATTCTCTGCATTGCTTTTTCTACTTTAATTAACTTTATATTCTTCTGTCTGTTGAACCACCATTGTTGATGTGCTAAACGTCTACTTAAATCAGTAACACAACGATAACAGATTTAGATTAAAAAAATGTAACTTTTTAGTCGTGTCAAACTTCGACATACACTATATTTTGTGGATTTTGCCACTCAGAACATCTGCCCAATATGTTCCTAGTAGTCTAATAAATATCCACAGCCCTTTATACATTTTAATTGAAATTAATGGACTAACAATTTTTATTTTAAAAGATTATTTATCTTCCTGTTTGTTTATGTTTTTTATGTAGCAACAGGAAGCTCCGTAAACTGCCAAACTACTTCATCATGAATTTGGCAGTGAGTGATTTCCTCATGGCTTTCACACAGTCTCCCATCTTCTTCATTAACTGCCTCTACAAAGAATGGATTTTTGGTGACACGGGTGAGTACATTTTTTTTTTAAATCTCATTAAATTGTGTTTAAATTCTGCATTTTTGTTTATTTTCCTTTTTTCTGTGTTTCTTAATTATAGGCTGTAAGATCTATGCTTTCTGTGGTGCCCTTTTTGGCATCTCTTCCATGATAAACCTTTTGGCCATCTCAATGGAACGATATCTGGTCATCACCAAACCACTACAGACCATGCGTTGGGGTTCCAAACGGAGAACGATTTTTGCCATCTCTCTCGTGTGGTTTTATTCTTTGGCTTGGAGTTTGGCTCCTCTTGTTGGCTGGAGTAAGTTTCTTAACATTAGTATCAAGTATTGAGTTTCTTTCTCAACAGAGTAGGGAAATGCACAGCCATAAGTAAACATTACTTTCCAATACATTTAACATACACAATTTAATCTCCAGCTAAGCCCAATCGACAGATTATTCAGACATGGAGCAAAATTCACCATTATGAAATTGACATCACTGTTATGTCAAAGACAGAGCCCAATGATAGCTCTGCTGTTTTTCGTGCTACACTATGCAGACACTCTGTCTGCTTAAATGAAAGTCCCTCCACTTATTAAAACCATGAAATGACAGCAAGCAAACTTATTTTTATCTTAAATCTTCGCTTGAGGGCACTAAAAGATTATTTAATAGAAAACCAGTTATTCTGGAACATGCAAGAACATACATAGACACAGTGACATTCAGTACCCCTTTCTGACACAAATGTATACTAAATATCACACCGCTTACGCAGACATGCAAATTATAAAACAAGGGTGCTTTAGAAAGTATGTACATAAATTTGAAAGGAAAACAGAACATTTATAAATAGAAAACTTCAGATGTTTATATCTTGCAGATGGCAATTCACCCATCTATGACACAATCATTTCAATCTTGCTTTCTGTAAACGTTCAAATATTGGATGCTCTTATCATTTTAGGCTCCTATATCCCAGAGGGCCTGTTGACATCTTGCACATGGGATTATGTTACATATACAACAGCTAACAGGAGTTACACCATGATGCTCTGCTGTTTTGTCTTCTTTATTCCACTCGGGATCATCTTTTACTGCTATCTTCGAATGTTTCTATCTATACGAAAGACTAGCAGGTAAAATAAATGAAATATGTTTGTGTTAATATGCCTTAAATGTATTATCAAAATGATGGTAAAATTGCAGCATCACATGAATACTGAAAACCTCCCAGTTTTCCTTTAACTGCTTTCTTTGTCTTGCTTCATATACAGGGAGGTCGAACGTTTGGGCACTCAGGTCAGAAAAACAGCTCTTATCCAACAGAAATCCATCAGGAGTGAGTGGAAATTGGCAAAGATTGCCTTTGTTGTCATTGTGGTGTATGTCCTCTCCTGGTCACCCTACGCCTGTGTAACATTGATTTCCTGGGCTGGGTAAGATCATTTTATAGATTTTTTTTTCAAAGCTGTGTGAATGGTTTTGTTAAAACTGTCAAGCAATTTTATGTAGGTGATTTTTTTTAGGAACACAATTAGTAGAGGAAAATACGCAAATAAATTTTGAAAACCAAACTTGGCAACTGAGAATGCTAATTCTTTATTGAGAACTACGGTTTAAATGTATTTTGAATTGCAATCTCTAGGATTACATTCAGTACAATTGTTTCATAAAGCAAGAGATTTTCAAACCCTTCTGGCTTTCATGATACAAACCGAGCAGAAGTGTATTATTCATAATCCCCAACATCAGAAGAGTGTTAATCCAGTAGCATGTATTGAAGAATCTTTACCATATTGGCAATGAATACAGAGACTATTCTTTTATAGTAGATGAGTTTCACTGATCACTGATTATTACATGATTATGGTAATACATGCTCTCACTATTAAAAAAAAATGCATTTTAGGTCTCCCAGAGACTACTCTTAGTTAGAATTAGAGCTGTTTTAATGGGATTGAAGTTGATTTCTGCGCTCAGTGTTTGATGTGTCATTATATTTAATTATTTCACCAGAAAGGAAAGCACATCTTGATGAGACATACTTTAAAAATATGGAATTGCTTAATTGATCCTTTCCTTTTTTTTAATCTTACCACAAACTTTATTACACCTCTTGTTTCACTGATTGTACTCTGGATTAAAATGAAGATGCTTCTGATATTTTTTTTTCCTGGTAATTCTCTAGGAGCTGTGGTCTATGCATGCAAACACATCTTAACACATGAGCAAACGTCATCAGATGGATTTAACCAACTGTTTTTGGCAGATGGCAAATGTTAAGCTCCAACAAATAATGACCCCTCATTATATCACAAAACACTGAATAAAAGGGAACTTTTATTTGTTGGTTTATTATTGCAATTTCACAAAAAAGCTAGGGAAATAATTGCAGAAAGCAAAATGAAGAAATTCTGTTTTACTCAGGGAAAGCTTTAAGTGTGTTTTTTTTTATTTTGTCTTTTTCAGCTATGCCAATATTTTGTCTCCATACTCCAAGGCTGTTCCTGCAATCATTGCAAAGGCCTCAACAATTTATAATCCAATTATCTACGCCATCATTCACAACAAATACAGGTGATACATAATCTCAAAGCCATTTTTATCATTGTTTTTAAAGTTAACACGTTCCAAATGTTACTCTAGAAAGGTTAAAAACTTATATTTGAATTTATTATACGTTACTATATGATAAAAAAAAGTCCAATGAGCCATTATGTAAAAGACAGAAGTTTAGTTGGGATTAGAAAAACAACTTTTATTATCTGATTTTAGAAAAAAAAAGGTAAATTTTTTCTTTTTTTTAAAACTTTTTTCTTGCTTTATGACTTTGGTCGTATGTTTTGGGTATTTTTCCACAAACTCCTCACAATAGTGTTGGAATTCATCATGCAGAACTCTTATGCCGTAACTCAGTAGGTTTTTGGGCCAACTTTCTCACACATACACTACCGTTGAAAAGTTTGGGGTCACATGGAAATTTTCTTGTTTTTGAAGGAAAAGCACTGTACTTTTCAATGAAGATCACTTTAAACAAGTCTTAACTTTAAAGAAATACATTCTATACATTGCTAATGTGGTATATGACTATTCTAGCTGCAAATGTCTGGTTTTTGGTGCAATATCTACATAGGTGTATAGAGGCCTATTTCCAGCAAATTTCACTCCAATGTTCTAATGGTACAATGTGTTTGCTCATTGGCTCAGGCTAATTGGCTAATTGATGAAAACCCTTGTGCAATCATGTTCACACATCTGAAAACAGTTTAGCTCATTACCGAAGCTACAAAACTGACCTTCCTTTGAGCAGATTGAGTTTCTGGAGCATCACATTTGTGGGGTCAATTAAACGCTCAAAATGGCCAGAAAAAGAGAACTTTCATCTGAAACTCGACAGTCTATTCTTGTTCTTAGAAATGAAGGCTATTCCATGTGAGAAATTGCTAAGAAATTGAAGATTTCCTACAACGGTGTATACTACTCCCTTCAGTGGACAGCACAAACAGGCTCTAACCAGAGTAGAAAAAGAAGTGGGAGGCATCGTTGCACAACTGAGCAAGAAGATAAGTTCATTAGAGTCTCTAGTTTGACAAAAAGACGCCTCACAGGTCCCCAACTGGCATCTTCATCAAATAGTACCCGCAAAACATCAGTGCCAACATCTACAGTGAAGAGGCGGCTGCGGGATTCTGGGCTTCAGGGCAAAGTGGCAAAGAAAAAGCCATATCTGAGACTGGCCAATAAAAGAAAAAGATTAAGATGGCCAAAAGAATACAGACATTGGACAGAGGAAGACTGGAAAAAAGTGTTGTGGATGGATGAATCCAAGTTTGAGGTGTTTGGATCACAAAGAAGAACGTTTGTGAGACGCAGAACAAATTAAAAGATGCTGGAAGAATGCCTGACGCCATCTGTTAAGCATGGTGGAGGTAATGTGATGGTCTGGGAAAAAGGGATTCTGAATAAGGAAGGCTATCCCTCCATTTTGCAAAGTCATGCCATACCCAGTGGACAGCGCTTGATTGGAGCCAATTTCATCCTACAACAAGACAATGGGCCTAAACACACCTCCAAATTGTGCAAGAACTATTTAAAAGCAGAAGCAGGCAGCTGGTATTCGGTAATGGAGTGGCCAGCACAGTGACCAGATCTGAACCCCATTGAGCTGTTGTGGGAGCAGCTTGACCATATGGTACGCAAGAACAACCCAACTTGTGGGAGCTGCTTCTGGAAGCGTAGGGTGCAATTTCTCCAGATTACCTTAACAAATTAGCAGCTAGAATGCCAAAGGTCTGCAATGCTGTAATTGCTGCAAATGGAGGATTCTTTGAGGAAAGCAAAGTTTGATGTAAAAAAAAATCTTATTTCAAATACAAATCATTATTTCTAACCTTGTCAATGTCTTGACTCTGTTTTCTTATTATTTCACAACGTATGGTGGTGAATAAGTGTGACTTTTCAGGAAAACAAAAAATTGTTTGGGTGACCCCAAACTTTTGAACGGTAGTGTAGGTTTTAAGCACAAAATGTTGCAAAGCAATTTAGGCCCGTAATAAGTTAATACATCATAATTTAACCTCCTTCCTCCTTTTATAGAGTAATGTTGAGGGAAAAAAGAAATCTCTTTTACCATAACTTAGAGGTGCAAACATGTATTTGAATACACCCAACCAGAGATGGGAAGTAACGAAGTACAAATACTTCGTTACTGTACTCAAGTAGATTTTTCTGATATTTTTACTTTACTTTACTACTTATTTTTATGGCGACTTTTTACTTCTACTCCTTACATTTTTACACAAATATCTGTACTTTCTACTCCTTACATTTTAAAAAATTGGCTCGTTAATTTAGTTTTGAATCATTTCAATGGAGTTACCGTTATTATTTTTCACGTCATCAATACCAAATTCAATCTAATTGGATGGGAATCTACGTTGCATTTGACGCACCACTACAAGATGAATCGACAGATTCGGCGGTATTCATTCGCGGCAAATCATTGCAGCTTGGTGGCGGTGGCGTTAGCATAGTAGCATGGACGACGAGATGATTGAAAATGAACACAACGGAGATCTAGTCCTATTGGCAGACATCCATTTAAAATGTAGGCAACGGCATGAAAAAAGTGGTTTCTACTTTTACTTTTATACTTTAAGTAAATTTACAAGCCTGTACTTTGTTACTTTTACTTGAGTAAAGAAGTTTAATCAGTACTTCCACTTTTACAAGAGTATTTTTTAATACAAGTATCTGTACTTTTACTCAAGTACGGAAAGTGAGTACTTTTGCCATCTCTGCACCCAACCTACTGAGCTCAATTTTTGTACCTGATTTGCACCTTACTTTCAAGCATGTATTTCCATTTACATATTCTCTGCCAAGTATTTTGTGCAGTTTTCCCTCAAGCCAATGACCTGCATATTCAGAAAGGCACACACATATAAAAGTTTTAGTACCCACAGGTTTTCCCATTTTACTCACACAATATAATATGCACCTGGTTTGAAGATCAGTCTTTCACAAGTTAAACAGTATGCACACGATTTAAACTTTAACAGAAAAGTCCGGTCAGCAAGGAATAACCAATGGATCATTATTTATACCTAAAACTAATATGTTCACTGTGATTTAATGAATTTAGCTTTAATCAGTAAAAAAATCTAAACAATATTTTTCACTCCTGACATCTTCCAGCAGTGACGTCAAGGTGCGGTAAGCCTAGTGCCATTGTTCCTCCTTTACAAGCAAAATCAATTGACGCTTCTATACAAATGTGCAATCAACAACAATTTGAGAGGACTTCACTATTAAGATTTGCGAGAGCTGTAGTTAAAGTAACAATGCCTATGTGGATACATCAGGTAAAAGTGAAAAAAAATTAGTTATTTGATTTTTCCGATTCATGATTCTCCATGGACGGATTCGTCATTGGATTGCCAAATTGAAGAGGGAGGATTTACCATTGAACTTCTGGCCAGAGAAAAAACACGTAATTGATCCGTTACGCTCTGCTTCGAATATTGCACTGGTCGTCATGGATAATAGCACGTTGTGACAAACACCAGATACAGCACTGGGACTTGCTCAACAGCCGATACCGCACTGTGACGTCACAAACCGGTAGATGGCAGTAGTGCTCTTTGAAAAACATAGATGTCTCCAGTAAAGCACAGTCAAATTAAATTACTCTTAATTAAAAAAAAACGTTTCATCTATTGAAAAATATGTAATAATTTCATACTTAAAGTAAGTTTGGAAGTTTGTTTTCTGAAAGTGACCGGACTTTTCCTTTAAAGGTCAGACTCTGAATGAATTCCCTTTGATATTTTGCTCAATTGAAAAACACAATCCTTGATTTATTTTGTGTATATTATCACGTTAAACCTTTAGTCAATCAAACTCTGTATGTAATATATTGGGTCAACTTTTTTTTTTCTTAAATTCAACAGGATGACTCTTGCAGAAAAAGTACCATGCCTGTGGTTTTTGTCTCCGGCTCCCAGAAAGGAATGCCTGTCCTACTCCATCAGTGAGTCCTCTCTCAGGGACTCCATCATCAGTAGACAGTCCAACACTTCCCGGACTCATTTTATTAATGCTTCACCAAACCGCATTGATATGGTAATATTTGCACAACAAAGCCTTAATTTACCCACAATTATGAGTTTTATTCCATTTAATTCGAATTAAATATAAACCTATTCCGCCTGTGTTTTTAAACTGTGGATTCAAATCATGTTATTAATGTGGTGAAGCACTAGTAAACATATCAATGAACTGTTATTCAAGCCATACACATAGGACCCAATTAGTCAGATGGTTAAAGATCCCAATTATTGTAGCTCATCACTCGTTGTACAGGTGAGTATCTGATCAGGACTCTAGCAAAAGAAATCAAAGATTTCCAACACTAAAATGATTCAATTGCACTTGCAATTATTTACATATACAAAACTACCCCTTGACACACACTCAAAAGGGATGCTTTTGAACATAAAACATAATCCTCTCTTTAAACAGGCTTGAGTTGCCCTGTAAAAAGATAAATGATTATACTTTTTACTGCCATTCAATATCAAATGTCTCTTGGGTAAGCCATGCACTTCATTGGGTGAGTGCTGAGCATACCAGGGCTCAAAACTTCCAATCTTCCCCAGATCCTCTACCAAATTTCCAGGCTTAAGTGTGGGGGCATGGATCCAATGGAAGCTGATAGTACCCTGGGAATAAAGGTACACATCATTAACTCCAAATACCCCAGGGTCCATTTTAAGGATCTTTTCTCCTTATAAGTCAATGTTTTATCTAATTGGGCTTTTCGACTAGATGTGTATCTTTTTTGGGGTTCCGGAACTTGAGTATGTAGGGTACAAGGACCCCTATCGCCTGAAAACCCAATTTCCATTTTATAGACACTTCGTCCTTATGATACAGGAAAGGTTCTCACGAAGAATTTTTACAAGATGAATCAATTTTTAAGCACCTCTACAGGTATATTCCATGTGGTTCTTCCCCTCCCACAGCAGCTCAAGTTTACATTTTCCATTCTTTAACCCAGCAGCCCTGCTTCTTCCTGGATGACCGTAAAGGACTTTTAAAGAGTTGTTTCTGTGTTTTAGCAGCCGTTCCTGGGAAAGGGATTCATTGTAGTTCCCCCATTAAGACAAAGGGGTGACAAACTGTTTAATTTTCCTTAGTAGCTATTCTTAAGTAACATACATACAGCCTTCAATTTGTTTGATTTTTTAGAAGCTCCAAAGCCAATTTCCAGACTTAGTTGTGGGTATTCGGGTCTCGGAGGATAGAAGAGTAAACTTGGGAATCAAGCTACAATAACCTCTTCTCTTTGAGCTCCCAAGATGGATTTATCTTGACCTTATGTTAATTGTGATCCAGGGTGGGTTCTCATAGGCATGTTGTGAGAGCTCTTACGGTCTTGGACAAAGCCTTCATCATGCCCACCTGTTCTCTCAGGTTATTTAAATTGTTTCGAAATCCGGCTCTGAAATGCAGCAGAAAGTCAGGATGTCTGAGCACTCCAAAGCACTGCGTTAAGGTCGCAATCTCCAATGGAGGCGTGGGTTCGAATCCCACTTCTGACATGGCCTTTCTGCTTACTTGGACTTGTCTTCTACCAAAAGGTTGCCATTTGTGTGCTAGAAAGCATTTACCCATTAAAGTGTGGATTTTAATTCTGTTACTAATGTGGTGAAGCACTCTAAAACATATCAATGCACACCTTTTCAAGCCACATAGTTAGGACCCAATTAGTCAAATGGTGAAAGATTCCATTTATTGTAGCTCATCACTGGTAGTACAGGTGAGTATCTGATCAGGATTCCCAGCAAAACAAAGATTTCCAACACTAAAGTGATTCAATTGCAGTTGCAATTATTTACATATACAAAACTACACCTCAACACACACTCAAAATGGATGTTTTTGAATATAAAACATAATCCTCTCTTTAACCAGGCTTGAGTTGCTCTGTAAAAAGATAAATTATTATACTTTTTACTGCCATTCAATATCAAATGTCTCTTGGGTAAGCCATGTACTTCATTGGGTGAGTGCTGAGCATACCAGGGCTCAAAACTTCCAATCTTCCCTAGATCCTCTACCAAATTTCCAGGCTTAAGTGTGGGTGCATGGGTCCAATGGAAGCTGATAGTACCCTGGGAATAAAGTTACACATCCCTAACTCCAAATACCCCAGGATCCCACTTCTGACATGGCTTTTCTGCTTACTTGGACTTGTCTTCTACCAAAAGGTTGCCATTTGTGTGCTAGAAAGCATTTGCCCATTAAGCACTTTCATTTGCCCTTGCCATTTGTTAAGGAATCTGAATTTGTTTAATTTGCTACCTAATTTGTTTTATTTTCTCTATTTTGTCACTTTCGCTATGTTCCTATCTACAGCTGTCTTATATACCATAATTATTCAACGTGCAAGTAAAGTCAAACATTTTGATAATGTTTTTACAGATGTTGAAGGATGTAGAAATGGAATATCTTGGGAGGCAGTCGGGAGGCTCCTTTAAAAGCATGTCATCATACAGGTCGTCATATAGAGGCAGATCCAGTAAGAGGCCATCTGAGCCCCAGATGATCAACAACTGCACATCAAAGAAGGTGAGATAATGTAATTCAGTTAATTATGACTTTGATTTGGACCTTATTGCTTAAGCAAACTGCAAAATAACTCATTTACATTTTGTTATTATGTCCACGTATATAGCAACAAACTACTAAGATTGACCCACTGAGCACCCATGACCATGGCCTGGTTTCCAGCTCTCTGAGCATCACCACATTACCTTTACTTGTTCTTACCAGGAGACGCAGTGAGAGCCTAACAGATGGGACTTTACACACATACAATGACAAAAGTGACATAGAGCGGCTGCAAGGCCAGAAGAGCAGCTCTTTTGATTCTCTGAATCTTGGGAAAAAGCCCATTACTGACCCCAAGTTGCCTCAGAGTGTTCCTCGCATAATTGTCATCAGTCCGAGTTCTGAAAGCAGCATCATCCACCATGATGGCGTCCGTTTAGAAGACAGCATTGAAGCAATGGAAAACAATGTTTTTGTAAGTCTAAACTTCTCAACAGAAGTATTTGAGGCAGTGAAACTACTCTCTTGACCACATGGAAGTATACATGTTCAACTTTGGACTAAAAGACAATCAAATGGACAGAGGTAAACTTCTAGGTCTTTTTTGATGTTGCGCTGAAGTTTTCTGACTGTCCCCTTTACCACAGCAACTATAGAGTAGAAGAAACTGAAATAAAACGACATAAACAGTTTTTAGCACAATGCAATCTTTGGCTGGGAAAGATGAACCTGAAAAGGACAACTTTTTATTTTTGAGTTCCCACAAAACAGAGCACTGAAAATAGAGTTTTCTACGCTTAATATGCCACTTGAAATGTTTCCTCTGTTGAATTGAAATGATTTAGATTTAAAAGTCCTTAGAATATTCTCCCTAAGCTATTCATAAAATCTAAGAATATATAACGAAGACCCTAGAAAACAAAAGTGGGGGTGCAATAAAAGCATATGATTTTCGTTCACTATTGCACCTTTAAATCAGTGAGAAACTGAAGAAAAACCAAACCAATTGCATGTTAACATGTGCCTAAAATTAAGATATTCATTTTTAATGTTGTTACAAAAGAGCCACATTTACCAGATTTGTACTGGCAACAATTCAGCAATGTAATGAAAAGTGAAGCAGTTCAAACCCTCAGGAAAGGAAGGATATCTTCTATAAAACCTGACATTTCTATTAATCACTCATCCATTCTGATAGAACTATCCTATGACATTTAATAATCATACAAGTTAAACAGCATTTAGCAAAACCAGAGGATTAGCTGGAGGTTTCCTTCTATTAAACTTGCTGCAAAGTTAAATCATTATATTATGTTTGCTTCATGCTGGTTCAGGAGGAGCAATGGCTTCTCTCAGTAACTGGTAGCAATCAGGTGGATTTTCCTTAAATAGAAAACTTTTAAACAATTCACATAGATATCACAGTAAAAACCTCTTATTCATTTCTGTTAACATTTATGTTTAAAGCAATTGGTATATGCTATAAAACAAGCACTAAACATAATTTTGAAATTTATAAATGTTGACCTACACAAGACTGCTGGCACCCTCCAAAAGCAATATAAGAACAAGAGTTCCTTTGTTAAAGAGGCTTGGATTTTCCAAGATGTGTTTTTAAATATATTTCTGGAAATTGGAGTTGAAGGCAAAGTTGTTGCAGAAAATATGTAATCTGATTTAAATGATTGATATGATTGTTAAGAAAAGTTGATTTAATGGTGCAATGTCCTTATTTTTGCTATGAGATCATTTGTGATCAGTTGAGAGGCTTTTTAAATGATGTTTCCACTGTCCATAATGATTTGGGAAAAGTTTATTTTGACCAATGTTGGTCAGCTTTGTTTTCTCATGCCCTAATGGCTTGATATACATTTTTTCTATCCACTATAGAGAATTTTATGCTTTTATTTGCTGACTAGCTTTATGTAAATGCTGATTTGATTTCCAGTATTGATACTTGAACTGAAAAAAATTATGCAACCGCTTTTGGCATTTACTTAATGATATTTAGTCACTAGTTTTATGTCCTACCCTGCTAACATGAAACAATTGTGTTAAAGTAACTAAATATGATGCCAAAAATGGTTGCATTATTTTTGTCAATGTGTCCTCACTGCCAAATGTTGGTTTACGGGCCATGCTTCTGCTTGATTAACCTACAAACAAGGTCTAAACTAAATCCATATTGAACAAATAGAATATTTTGAGGAAGACAAAATACATCAGATCCAACAATGGAAATTAGCTGTAGGTAGTTATTACAGCATAACAACCTGGGTTTTCTAAACACCTCAAAAGAACCACAGGCTTTTCACGTCCATACCGCAATGCAGTTATTCATGCAAAACAAGCCAAAAGCTAGTATTTAGTTAATATTATGGTATCGATTATGAACAGATTTTTGGTAGGATAACATTTCTGTATCAAAGATCCTTTTTTGGGGGGTTTTGTCTTCTTCACATCATAATAAAACAGCAAAAGCAGCAACCACACTATGTAAAACTACAAAATGGAAGTAAGGAGATAAGGGTGTAAGGAGTTGATAACAAAAAGTATAATAAAGTTATTTTAGCATTATTCATTATTTAAACCAATAAACACATGAACATACAGTATATCAACTTGGTTTTCAGAATTTGTATTATATGTAGTAATAAGGGTGACATTTTTTGAAAAATAAAGTAACTTTTTAAGGAATTTAAAATGTGTTCTACTAAACATTTATATCATCTACTATTTTATTTTAATTTTTTTGGTTTCCTTTTACAATTTCTTGGTTTTTGGTTGGAGAGCAATTGGAAGCCAAAACCATTAAAGCTCATGTGCACTTTTGCATTTTAAGAGTATTAATAGTTGTGTGAAATGTTTGCTAAATGTTAACAGTTCTATGGATTCTATCACTAAAGGTAACTTGTAAAAGGTATGACAAGAATGTTTTCCTGAAAGAAAATGTTTTCCAGTCTGAATTGTGCAGCTTTTAGCCATGTTATAAACTTAAACCAATATTGCATGATATCCATCTGTTACCAGTTCAACCTAATTCTAACAAGAGATTAAAATCCAACATTGAGTGCATAAAAACATTCATAACTGTTGAGGGGATCGTGGTTACCCATTACCCTTTTTGAAACAATTTAACAAAGTAAATAGATAAAAACAACTGAGGTTTTTACAGAGGTTTGCATTTGTAACAAATAATGTATATTTGTATAGATCATCTATATTCAACAAACTGCTTTATCTAGTATTCCATCTAGCTCATGCCGGTATCAATGTCGACCGCAGCTTTTTTTCGTCAGTGTCTGTAGATATGAAGCCAGGAGATGTAATACTCGTTGATAATGTAAAGAGTAGCTATATTTATGGAAAGAAATGCTGTCCTACCTTGCATAGTTTGCACGTTTTCTTCATATCATTGTCACTGTTGCTCTCAGAAATAGTTATGTGTCATTTTCTTAGTGTTTATTCTTTAAATTGACTTTTCCCTTGTTCTTTTGGTAATTTGTTATAGATAGGTTGTGTAAAGGTTTAAGCATCAGACTGATTGTGCTGTATGTTCTGCTGTTTATCTCAAGCTTTCCTATTCTTGGTACAACAATATATATCTATATTGTTTAAATAGGAACAACATAAGAGTTTTATGAACCCTATGAAAGTTTTTTTTAAATAAAAGATGTATGTGATTAAAAGTAATTAACTTGTTTTTACTTATACTTTGCCTTTCCAATTTTACAATAAGGTAGATAAATAAGAAGGATGTGAGTACTCTGAAATTTCAGCTATTTATTGTTTGCCATGTGTCAAACAGTAACTATGCTTATTTCTGAAAACTAAATAAATAAATAAAATAAAAACGAAAAATTTATTTATATATTTGTAGAAATTACAGTACAGCTTTAAACCATTCTGACTTGGTACAGCAAGTAGGTCAGTAAGCATTTATAAGATTGTCTAAACCACTAATCACTGCATTTCCAGGTTAAATAAAACAATAACCACAACAGAATGTTTGCAGTGGACTTTAAGTTTCCAGTAAGTCACAACTAAAGCTTTTTCTAAACTGAGGGGAACCAAATTTTAGTTTTATATTTTCAGTAATGAAGAATCACAAATTTGAAATGTTCACCTGTTTAAGATATTGGTAGAATTACAAGTCAGCTGAAAGGCTCTTTAAGATTGTAGATGGGTAAGTTAGTGGACAAGCTTTTTTTGGTCTTAACTAAAAAAGTCTGTCTACTTTCCTTTTGACTGGAGAAAAACATATTTTTTTAAGAGGAATATTTTACAAATAAAAGTTATGCAGTTATGCATATTTGATCATATTGGTACTGCAATCTCATTTAAGTGTTGTACTTGCAGAAAAAGCCAGCAGAGGGAGTAAGAGATCAACATTCAAAATGTAGAATTTATTGTTATGTTTTTCGTTTTCCTATTTTATGGTCAAACTTTAGCTAGTTCTAGGATGAAAGTAAACAAGGCCTTGGGGAGGCTCAAAAATTGAAAAGTTATTGAAAAGATAAATCATTAGTTTAAAAAATGTTATCAAAAATGTATAAAGCCTTTAGAGGAATTGCTAATTCAAAAAGGTATTCAAAAAAGTATTTGACTGATTTATAAAGGCAATCAAATCCTTTGAAAAACTAAGCTGTAACGTTGCTATTTTCCCTCTGACTAGTGTAGTTTCTTTCAGTAGAAGCAACCCGATTTTTTTAGGTTGAAAACCTTGAATGACTATTGTGGAATAATGCAGAGCTTTCCCAACAGGTTAAAATATTTTTGACATCTTCTTGTAATTATTATCAAATCAATCTATTATTATTTTTCTGTTGATTTAGTAATAGATTCACTAAAATATAATAATTTTTTTTCTTACAACTGGCCTCTGTTTTGTTTTTTTGGGGCTGGCTGTCTTACTGTTGGCCAATCTGCTCTTCAATTTATATTAAGAGAGAACGGATACACCTGCTTCTTTCCTAATCACCCTCATTCCTCCTAGCTATTATCCTGCCTATATATAGACCTGCTTTTCACAGTCACTCTCTACCAGATTGTCTTGTTGTCTGTATAAGCTATGTTCCCAGTGCTGGTGCACACTGCTTGCTTATGCTTCTGTGCCCACTCTGTCACTGCTGGGGGTTTCCCCCCAGTGCTTGTCTGCACTGCCTTTTTTCCTGTAGTCATTTTCTGGCCCTGTCCTCAATGGATCATCAACTTCTGACTCTGTTTGCCTCTGCCTGCCTGCTACCATCCCGTTAAATCCACTATCAGCCTGTCAGCCTTCCTGGTCTTTCCCGCTTTCTATCAGCCTGTCTAGCCTACCACCAGCCTGTTTTTTGTTCTCTGTTTTCTTATTCTTAACACATATATCATGCCATTAAATAAGACATTGACAGAAAAAAATAATTTTCTGCTACTCCACAAAACCAACATGTTGTGATTAGCAGTACAAAGCTTAATGAAATGAGGAAGATAAAAAGGGAAAAGAAAAAAATATATATTGTCTGTGACTTTTCCCAGCATACCCTCATGGTATTGTTGTTACATACAAATGATATGAAGATAAACACAATTTAATTTTGTTAGACAACAATATAGAAGATAACAGTAAACTAATGTTAACGATGAGAATCTTTATCTTATTTATTCAACTAGATATTTACGTTAAGTTGTATTTTTTTATTCCCCAGAAAACTCATGTCTAACAATTTAAAAGATGCTGTTAAGTTCTTATATTGTTTTATTTTATTTTGCAGTGTAAGGACTGCATAAATCATATTCCCATAAGATCAGAGTTTCTGAGCAACATTATGTAAGATAATGTGCTGTAAACATACAGTACAACTCTACACTGAACATGTCATCTTGCTTAGATAGTAGGTTTGTTCAGTTAGTAATTGTTTTAGACTTTCTCCTTTTTCTTTTTAGGCCCATGTTCTCCTTTATAAGTCTTATTTTTTTTTTACTTTAGTGGAATACATTGTAAGGAAGCTCTGCTCTAACCGTGCATAATTAATTAAGCAGCAAAGCCTGGGTCATGACATTGAGTAGTCTTGAGTGGATAAACTTTGAGTAAAGCACAGTGTAACTTCATAATTATAAAATTAAAAAATACAAATGTTTAAGACTTTGAAGAAAAAAATTTCAGTCTAATTAATTGTATACTGAATGTGACCAGACTTTTCCTTTAAAGGTCAGATAGGTTGCACAGACTTTCCCTTTGATATTTTGCTCAATTGAAAACACAATCCTTGATTTAATTTTTGTATATTATCATGTTAGCAGCTTATTAAATATAATTGTAATTAATTATAGAAATACATTCATAATTTGCAGTCAATAAAAAGCTGTAATATTGGGATTTTTTATTTTTTATTTTTATTCAAGTTTTTATTGTCAGAATGATCAAATCTCCATTGATTCCAAACAAGTAGTATTTTTTGTATAGTTTGACCCTATTTTTAATTTTTTTTAATATTCTAATGCTCTTAAACACAGACTTTGCACTTCATTAGTTTGTTTCACCGCTTTGCAGGTGTACTAGTAATCTGACTCATTTGGTTTGGCTCTTGATAGTGATTGACAGAAAGAGCCATGCCACAGCAGTGTGCATACTCCGATCTAAAAGAGGGGAGAGGGTGAGGGGATGTACAGTATGGATCAAAAGGTTTTCTAGCAAGAGCGATTTTTGGTAAGAAACAAGAGGTTTTGCCTCTGCGGGTAAAGAAACTGAAAACCACTGCATGTTAAAAGTACTAGTTTTTAATAAAGGACAATTCCAAATTAATATCTATATACCCAGTCTCATGAGTGAGATCACATATGATAAAGAAGATTATCTTATGGGTAAATGAATGATCAGATATTGAACAAGACTATTTTAATAATTTATAAAATGCTTGGCTAAAGAATTAAATACGGTGATCACCATTCAACATGATAGCTAGTTATCTCTTTAAACCACATACAATTATGTCAGTATTGCCAGTCAATGTCAGTTGGCAGGGATAACCCTGCTCCAAACAAACTGACTGATAACAAAAGTAATGTGAGCCCTATGCAATCAAATGTTTGAGTCACTTTGACTACAAATCAATAAATTATTTATATTTGCTTTTAATTACTGGTGGGCGGGTGGCTGTCTCCAGGGTATGCAGTGGAAAAGACCATCACAGGACCATAAAACTACAGACAATAAAGCCATACATGCACAAAAATCACTCAAGTACAGTCTGGACAAGACTGTACCACTTAAGCTAACATACATATTTTCTAATATTTGGAAGAAGCTGTAGCACCCAGAAAGAACAGAAGCATGCACAAGGAGAACATGATTCCTCCCTGGGCGCCCCAAGATGGCAGCCCACTGCTCTCCAAGGGGATTGGTTAAATGCAGAGGTAAATTTCTCCAATGTGAGATCAATAAAGTTTAATTATTATTATTAGGTAAACTCAATAAAGAAAGGTCCCTGTCCCAAATGCAAGCCCAGAAACTTACTATTGCAAAGCTAGCAAATATGGCACTGCTCAGCACAGCCCACTGCTTGAGCACTCATTTCATGGGGGTAAGTAGTACAAGGTACAATATATGAAATTATTCAATAATAATTCAAAGTTTTCTATGTTCAATACATTTGGGAACAATATCAAGAAAACTTCTTTCACATTGTCATTATGGGGTGTTATCATAAAATGAAAATAACCTTAAAATGTATAATATCAAACTCAATTACTAAAATTACAAAGGTATAATAGGATACCAAACAGTCATAAAGTACAATTAAGAGTAGGAATAAGATACAATGTAAATTAAAATGAATAAAGAGGCTGGATTGCAATCTCTTAAGACTGTGTGTTTTCCTGCACAGGTTGGCCAGCTATAAACTAGCTTGTAATGTTATTAGAAAGGAGTTGAAGCATGAGACATGACATCTATGTAATTGACTAAAAGTGTTACTATGACTTTATATGCAGGGAATACCATTAATTTGAAAAGAAAAATATACGTTAATTTTTTTCTACAATTTAATATATGTTTCAACTGTTTTAAATTATTAAGATTTTACTGCACAACAATACTGGCAGCTAGGTTTCTCTTATCCGTGGCTTCAAGATAAAACTAATGAAAACCACAGTAAAAGCTTGTTTTTTAGTCTTTCCAGTAATTTGCATATAATTTGGTGAATCACACTCTGCATTTTACATGGTCTATCAAGCAGCATAAAGCCAAATCCATGAAAAGCCAGGACACATGGCTTGTATTGCTTACAAAATCTGGGTTAGTCACTGAACTTTTTGAATTTTTACTTTGAACTGGAACACATTGAATAGAGTTGTTTCCATGGCAATGTCTGAACTTTTGTAGGCAAAATTTATCAATTTGTCTGTTTTAACTAAAAGTAACACTGCTGTTTTAGAGTTACTCAGATAAAATATGAACTTGTAGCAAATAGAAAATCTGTGGAGGGACCTAAAATGGAGGTATCAAAAATCTTTGTGGATCTTTGAAAGTATGTTGATATAACAAAATCAGGTTTTAGAGGTGTGAATGCTCCACAACATCCTTTAAACATGGCCTTTACTGTCAGTGAGACCTTAAATTTAAAAATAAAGAACAAATTCTAGTTAAAGTTGCTGAACTCTCACTCTGTCTGTCAGAGTTGTTCATTCCTTGGATAAGATGCTTCATCTACCTTATCTGCTGCCAGTGGTTAGGGGTACCGGTGGCGTACAGTACATTTTATTGCAGCTCCATTTCAGTATGCCTCAGGGCAGCTGTGGTTACAATTCAGGTTACCACTGTCTGTGTCTGAATATGTGCATAAATGACTGATTGTAGTTTGAAGCGCTTTGGGGTCCTTGGACTTCATAAAAGCACTATAAAAGTGCAGGCCTTTTACTGCACCAGTGCTCATTCGATACTTTTAGCATCAGCTCTGATATGCAACCTAAACCTTTACTGGAAACTGTGCATTGGAAATCATCACTCCCTTGCTGTACCACTGTCAGTGACTGTGCCTCCAAATAGGAGGTTGATGGAACGATTCTTAGCAGGTGATGCCTGCAATCTTAAGTGCTGGATGGTCTCGTTGACATTTGTGCTTCTCATATCCCTAAGGAAACATAACCCTTGGCTTTAAAATGTCTCTCTTAAAATGGCCTCGCTTTGAACCCTACTTTAGCAGTTGTGTGCATATTATAAAAGCTCCATGTGCTGTTTGCCTGTTAAGCATGAAAAAAAAAAGGATTTGTGCTCCCCTTTACTCAGTTTTAACACTGATATACGTCTCCTGGTGTGCTTGTCTGCCCTTCCCTGACTGCTTGATAAGAAGGTGGAGATATTTTCTCCAGTGGAAGTGAGCAGCTATGAGAAGGGATCGTGTTAAAAGCTTTCACACAAAAGTGGTCTTGATGGAGTTTCAAAGTTAAAATAGGTTATTTCTTTAACTAATGTAAGGGTATGTTTTTTTTTTATCTTTTAAAGCTACACATAAAATAGCTCATGTTACAGGCTCTACAGTAAAAACCCTCAGAGTAAAAAATAAACTGTGTGAATCACTGTACAAAGATGGCTGGAGGGATTAGCTATAGGCTTATATTAGTCTGAAAGGGTCAGACTGATTACAGGGGGGGCAGACAAAGTACACACCCCAAAATAAACTGTTGTTTGTCTTTCTGTTTGTAGAAACTGTTAGTAGGGACATATAAAAAAAGCAGCATTTATCTTTCAAAAATGCAAAACAAACAAAAACATTTTCACATTAAGTTTTTCTGAAGTTGGATATTTGTCATGATTGTCATGATTTGCAGATTAAGCTTTTAATAAAGGTAAATGAGTGATAATCAGACATACATATTGACCTCGATGCATTGCTGTAACACTCTATGGAAAATATTTTAGACTAATTAACAATAACATTATTCAGACTATAGCTCTTGTCCCCAGTTTAAGCTGGAATAAGGATTTATATACAAAAGGTATCGCATTTTCCATCAGGGTGTGACCATGTGTGTTTATGTTATTTAGTTGGGTTAGGCTTGCTTAGGGGTTCTGCTTTGAGAATGGTGGGTGGTGAACGATGTGAACGATGTATTAAACATCATTCAGAGGGGTAGATTATCATCCTATTAGTCTCAGTGTGACCATGTGGGTCTGGCAGCAGGCTATTAAGCTGTGATCTTTAAGCACAACGAGGGGTGAGCATATGGGGACTGGAATAGACCAATGGACAGGACAAAAGACAGTAGGGTGTCGGAGTGTTTTATGCCCCTGCACTCTCTCTATTGTTAAGGTTTGGTATAATTATCCCGTGACCCATGCATCATCCTTTGTTCCCCTCACAACAGATTTTAGCCGCTGGCCATATTTGACAGACCACGGTAGTGATCAAAATACTTCATTGAAAAAGACTGCTGGAGGTAAAAGAGAAAACACAAGAGATCCAGTGCATTAATTAATTAATTCATTCATTCATTCATTCATTCATTCATTCATTCATTCATTCATTTATTTATTTATTCATTCATTCATCATAGTCCAGACAGATTAAATGGGGCTCTTTGAAATATTAAACTCAATAGCAACAGTGGCAAATGTGTTGTTTTATCTGAATATAAGTGGTGTAAAATAGACAAATGTCACTTACTTTACTATGAGAGGATAAGGTCTATTTTGATTTAGATAAAGTACTATTTAAGGTTATTTATCAGAGGGACTGTTCAGAACTTTGAAACAACATTATGTTGAACTATCAATATCGCTTCCTTTAAATGTAAAACAAGTGGCATATAGCTCTGAATTCATAGAAAGATGAATCCTTGGACCGGTGAAAGAACTTGAAAGACACTATCATAGAATAAAATAGTCCTTTATTGTCCAACGGGGAAATGTTGGTTTGCTCAGCATAAAAAATTACATCAAACAAAAAACTGCATTGTTCTTAAAAACTGCAGTAGGGTGATTTGAAAAATGTAAAAAAGACCAACGTAACTAATATATATGAAAAACAGCAATATTTACTTTACTGAAGTTAGTTTTAGGTGCACGCAGTGAGCTGTGACAGTCTGGCATTAGGTTTGCTCTAGAAATGTCTTTGCTTTATAAACTCACAGGGTTGTCTAATCTGATATCTAATTTGATTAATTTTAATTCACTGGTAAATAATGGTCAGTAATTTGGTATAAACAATCATGTTTGAGCTTTGTAATTGTTTGGTTTAGATGCCATGGATCCATGAGTAGAAATATGTCAGTTAAAAAAGGGCCAAAAAATCGGTACAAATAAAGTCTTTGTTTACATTGAGGTGTACAACATTTAGGTGTCAAATAATTGGTGGTAGTAACATTATTAGTGCGCTCCTCTCCTCTAAATAAATGATTAATTTCTTTGTTTATGTCTCTTCCTTCTTTTTTTGTTAGCTCAAGTCTTTTTTTGAAGAAGTAATTGCTTTCTCCTTCTTCCTGCTTCTTTCATAATGTCAGTGGGTTCTCTTATAGTAGCTAACTACGTTGAACGGCCTACTGTTGATAATCTGTCTCCTAAACCATATGCACGTTTTAAAGGAAAGTAAGGGGCCTTAGAAAACAGACATTGTTAATGTTAATCCCAAACCTTACTGTTAATCCCAATACAATATTTTAACACATTGTCACCAAGTCTGAATTTCTCTATAATACTGATTGATAAGAAGTTCTGAAACTCAGTGCACCAAACGCTTTTCATTCCAGTACAGTTTCAGAGTCTACCTTATGGATTTACTTCAGTGTTGGTAAACCTGTTAATGATGAGGTTGGTTCCAGCCGGTCGGCTGCCAACACAATGCAGCTGACGCAGAACTAAGAGTCCAAGACACTAATGTCTCGGAGGTCGAAGGACAGGCAGGGGATCAGAAGCAGAAGAAGGCAGGCAGGATAATCCAGAAGGAAAAGCCAAAGCCGGTGTCAATGACGTGCTCGGTAGTCAGAGCCAGGAGATCAGAGGTCCGTAGAGCTACCGAAGGGAAATCCAAGAAAGAGTCAGGAACAGTTCCAGGTTAAGTTCACCAACAGAAAGGTGGGAGTCCGAAGACAGGTCAGACATACCGATCAAGCTGGGTAAATAGAGACTGAAGCAGGTGGATCAGATCACACAGGTGATTGAAATGATTAATTGGACCAGACATCAGCGCCAAGATAATGACATCTCCCTCACTTATCTTTTTCTGACAAGCTATTTACATCATATTAATTTGTCCCTTTCCATCTGAAATTCTCCTTTAAATGATGTTCACTAGGCTGCTCAAAGGCATGAAGGGAAAACCATACAAAACCATGACTTGTTCCCTCTGTGTCTGTGTACTATAGAGAGGAGCAAGTATATACAGTAATTAAGCCAGTCCTAGATGGGTATAACTACAAAGTCAATACTGAGCTGTCTGGACTGAAAAGATAGAGTGAAGTAAATTAAGCACCAAGGGAGTCGCACAGCTATCAGAACTTGAAAATAAATGAAGTGAGGATTTGACATCTGCATTTAGCTCCACACTGTATATGCATAAGGATCATTATAGAGTTTATTTAATTTCTTGATTGTAAAATTATGTTTTCTTAGCAATTATAGACAGAGAAGATTACACAAAAATCTACCTGGATTCCCATGTATGATGTATACCATCATAACAACAGACCAACTCAAGCAAAGCTCACCAGTTAAAAATGTGCTACCCTCTGTATTATTGTTGGAAAGACTTCTGCTGGGGCAGTAAAACTAATTTCTAAGAGAAATGACATAATCTTCTGTTTATATGAAAGACCTTTTGTACTGAAGCCTTAGGGATGTGTGCTTTGGTTGGATATAATCATGGCTAATTTCACTTTAAAGGAAGTGGCACACAGCAATGGATCCATGCTCTCAAAATATCCAGTTGAAAGATAGACCCTTGTGCCTGCCCTCCCTCCTATAGTCATATTCTCCTAGTATCAAACACCCACACTCTTTTACATAATCCAGGTTCTCCCCCCGGTTACCCCCTCACTGTTGTCCCCATTTACACCTTAATCCCATCCTTCATATCATTTCTTTCGTTTCCCCTCCCATTGCCAAATCTCCTCCTCTTTTCTCCCCTCCCCTCTAACCTCTGCCCATTCTTCGTCTTCCATCCCTTCCTCCTTTCCCTCCCCTCCTCCACCTTTCCCCTCCCACTGTCATTAACTATAGTATAAACAGCATTGCATCCCTCCTCGTCTGTCTCACACAGTGGGATTGCTAGAAAGGAGAGAGTGAAGAGGATACTTGGAAATACATCAGCCCTAGTACCTTACTGGATTTGTGTTTCTCTCTCACTAATCCCATTGAAGAGGTACGTTCTTTAGATTCTATTATTACACCGAATTAGACAATAAAAGGGGTTTATTCACTAATTTTACTTTATTTATATTTTTTGTAAGGGGATGCACTTACCAGATGCTTTTCAACATACTGCAGAAACTGTTACTGATTTGTTGATAGTATTAAAATGTGTAGATAGCCACACAGGAATAATATTTATTTTTGATTGTAAATAAATGAAATGGAAAAAAAAAAGCTGAAAAATGATATAATCATGTTTCTAAGTGATAATTTTGTCATTTTATGTTTCATATACCTCTTGCTTCTTTCCTTTGTATATTTCACTTTACCTTTCACATCCACTAAATGAGCCCTATGTTTGACAATGCCATAAACATAATATAACCAAAATATGACAGAATTGATCAAATCATGTGGTAATTTTTTGATTTTGTTGTGCATTTTGTCCTGTTACCAGCATCTTTCCCCTGATCAATACTGGACAGCATAATAAGAGAGACCATGAGCGGGAACTATAGCGTCACTCTGTTAGGGCCGGCCCCTTGGGGCTTCAGGCTCCAAGGAGGGAAGGACTTTAACATGCCACTCACCATCTCCAGGGTAAGTAACACAAACAGACAATATTACAAGTATAAGAGGCGGTGAACACTAACAGAATTGAACAGGTTACATAAAAATCTACTTTGTAGTTTTTTTATGTGTCAGGATTATGTTGATAATGAAAGCATTGCACTCTTAATGTTTAATCTTGACACATGCATGCAAAATTATTCACCTTAGGGTAGTGGTGAATTGGCCTGCTTGTGATCTTGTGTGGTTGGTGGAATCCAATCACTGTCCTTCAACTCATGTGTCCTTTGCTAACTGTAACCTTCCCCTTGCAGCACCATTTGCCAACTCCTCCAAACACCAGTGATAGCTTAGCTAAATCATATGCCATCTGTCATATATCAACCACACAGGAAACCTATTCTTATTTTCTTTGCATTCCACTTCCCTTTGACTCTCTGTTTCAAAAGTACAGCAATCAAAATTCTGGCGCAAAATTCTTGGCTTAGCTTGTGCTGCTTGAAAAGAGTAACTTGATGGTCCCTTAGCTTTATGTCCCTGTAGCGTAACCTCTCTTTGTCTTACACAGACAATCTTTGGCACACCACAGTCCCAATTCTGCTTTCCTCGTCATTTTAGAGGCATTGAGATCCAGGAAGACGATAATCCTTTTTTTGATATTTCTAAAGCTTCTGTTTCATTTTGCTTGGAACACTCTAATACTTTCATCAATTTTGATGCAAGTTAACACAATCATAAAGAAAGTCACCAAAATTGGCAGTGAAACAAACTGCTGGACACACAAAATCTGATGATGAATTGCTTGGCAGATCCTGTGCTGGTCCTCCTTGGGGCCTTTTTGGGTTGCCATGTTTGTCTAATTAGTTTGGATGTGATATTTTTCCCACTAAGCGAAGCCATGTGAATTCTTATCCCGGTTGTGTGTTTCATTTTGCCTGTATGTGTGCTCTTGAAGGCTAGGGTGCAAACATGGAGACAAGATTATGAAATATATTTTCAGGCAACAGAACAAATCATCAAGAAAGAAGAAATGGAAACAAAGAGAAAATCTAACTCAACAAAAAAATCTAACTATTGCAGTAAAAAAAAATAAAAATATTACATCTGTTATTTTTTTAAACATCCTTTAAAAAAAGCAAATCTAGAACAACAAAAGAATGTCATTTTCCTGCAAATGTTAGCATTTAACTGTAACTCTTTCAGCAGCTGAATCTAAACTGAGATTTAAATATCTCAATATTTATTGATGTGGTTTGCCCAAAGTGCTGTTTGCCCTAGAACCGTACAGATGTGTTTTGTGATGTGTTCATAGACCATATCACTTGACTCACCACAAAAATATTGATAGTCTTATCGGTGTAGCACTTTGTTACGTCTGTAAAAACAAAAACAAATCTTTCAAAGTGTTGAGAAACTGGAATGCAGTTTCAAACATTTTATACGCTTCAAAGATTCCTAAATTCCTAAATTCTGAATGTATATTGACCTATTAAGACATTTAGAATTTTAATGAAACCTAATTGAATAGAAAATCACTTCATGCAGTTATCTTAATTTATTTGAGTCCCTTGGCCTGTTTTTTTATTTCATGCTTTTCTGTGCCCCCATGGAAACACGCTGGCCCCCTCCTGGCCCCCCTGCTACATTTTGTCTAGAACCGCCACTGTAGGAAAGCATACACAGAGGTTTTAAAAAATAATCAATGTTTATTACTCAAAAAGAAGTAGAAATCCTAATGTTTAAAAACACATTTATAGAAGTTAGAGTATCAACTTTAGCTTTTTACTAAAGTAAAAGTGCAAAAGTACAATTTTCAAAACTAATTAAAGTATAAAAGTAAACGTAATGCAGGAAAAAATGTTAAGGACAGATGCTATGCACTAGCTTATTAAAGGAAACATTTTCTGCAATTCTGGATAATAGCTTCCTGATATTTAATTTTCTCAGTTTTATAACTAATGTTATCCGAGTCAAATTTAACTTTGCATCATCCTGAAAAACTATTTATTTTGGTATATAGTGAAAAACCAGTTGGTGCAGCACAGAGTCCAGCCATAAAGAAATAAATTTTCTGGATAAAAGAAAATATTTTGACAGTCTTTATTTTATTAATACCAACAGGCCATAAAGAAAATGAGCTTTAAGGAAACAAAAAAAATAAGTCTATTTTTAAGATGTAAGAAGTAGAAAGTAGAGATAGTAGCAAACAAATGTAATGAGTAGTAGTAAAAAGTTGTTGAAAAAGTAATTACTCCAGTAAAGTTCATATAGTCAACATTTCTACTTAAGTAAGGTAACAAATTATTTGTACTTTGTTACTTGACACCTCTGCAGAGATACAACCAAAATAGCAATAGCCACAGCAACAGTAAATGATAACAAAATAGAGACTGTAAGTAACCACTCTCCTAATACTGAGAAAGATACTGTAAATGAATATGTCATTAAAATAAGGCATGATATGGTTTGATGGGCAGCATAAGTCAGAACAAGGCTACAATACAATAGGCAGTTATCTACACTTGCCCATATTTACAGACAGATAAGTGTTTAATTGTTTGAAGCAGCTGCCACTATCTTGGATGATACAAGAAGAAAAATAAAATATATCCAATGGTCAGTATAAAGGAGCTTTATTTCAGTAAGAATATGCTAGTATAATAAAGAAAAACAAAGTCAAAGACATAGTCAAATTGACATTCGCACTCATTTCCTACCAGAACTTTTTTAGTAATGCTTTTAATTTAAATGACTACACAGGTTTCTTTTTTTTGTTTTTTTCAGTCAGCCAAGTTTGACTCCAAATTGGAATGTCACCCTAAAGATCATCTATACCAATATGTCTTTGTTTTTCTCATCATAGTATTCTATTTTGTCTGTTTACATGTTTACAGTGGGGGCCTTTCAGTTTAGACTTTACAACTACAACTTTATGCAACAAATGTCTCAGTCCTCACAATCATAAAATTTTCAGTCAAACATCAAGAGTCAAACCAACTTCAATTATCTTCGCCCTATTAAATCCATCTAATGATGGTAAAAAGCAATGCCTATGGGCATATTCACCCATGAAAACATGCACACCCAGATTAAAACACACATGAGCACTCTGCCAGTCTAACTATTGTGTTGGTTCTAAGCAGAGACCACACAGTAGGGGGTATTAGAGAATGCAGTACTACTGCCAAACCACATCGACACCAGCAGCTTCTATTGCCAAGGTCGACACATATGTGAACAAAGTATGCAATTTATTTCTACTGCAAGATGTGCATGCAGTATAAACACATTATGGGGTCCAATGTAACCACAAGTGACACTAGGATTGTAGGGAAATTGGCCTCACTTCCACATCCATCTTCTTATTTTTGATTCAAACTGTTTAAGTGGCTAAAATTGCTATTCCTTAATGTTCAGGTTTCAGTAAAACATATAAAGTGCCTAACATGTTGAGGTTGGCCTTTTTCATTGATGAAGGGTAGAAGCAGCACAAACAGAGATAAATATAGGGGAGAGTGCGGATCGTTTTAACAATCTTTTAATTACTCCAAGCTGATTAGGTCTATACTTACCATAAATTTATATATAAAATTTACATCTGTATGCTAATTTTTCATACCATTTTAATATGATTACATGGGACAGATTTTTACAATATCCTTAAAGACAAAAAGGTAAACTCTTGCAACATTCCCCATCCCTGGTGATGGGGAACCTAACTGCAACTTTGGGCTTTCTGAATGTGCTCATACACAGACTTCAAAAATTAAAATGAAATGAGAAAAACTTTATAACTCTTTCTAATACTACTATGAAATATGCCAAATTAAATTGCCCTTTTTAGATACTAATGACAACCCATTAGCCAGTTTGTAAATGGAAAAAAAAAAAGTTTTTCTCTAACTGATTTTTAAGAGCACAGACATCTTAGATATTCATTATTTTTTTCATAGAAAATGTGGATATTTTTAAAGGACATCCAAACATAAATAACATTCTAACACCACCCCTCTTTCCTCATCAGTCAAACACCCATTTGTGGCATGTGTAAAAATCACCTCCAGATGTGCAGTCTTTAATTGTCTAGGACCTGCGTATCCAGCACGGCTGCCACACTTCCTTGGATTTTAAGTAGCTTTCCAGCAGCTATGACAGAACACCATGTGCTAGCTCACACAGATTTCACATATGCTTACCTTGTAACTTTAAAACTAACTAAGTTTTAATTAATTCATACAAACACCCAGGGCAGTATGACAAAAATAAGCAAGGTAAATATACAATTTTTTTCCTAGTAAAGTGTATCTAATTTCAAGAGAAGTTATGCAAAGTCTACAGAAAGGCCTCAGAAGATGATTTTGAATGTATCTTCTGTCTTGCTAGTTAGAGGGAGGGTCCAACTGATTACAAGTGTCATCAAAACAGCATGTTTCTGGAAATTCTGGAGAGTAAAAATGTTGCAACTGTCCCCAGTAAGTAAATAACAATACTACTAATTACCAAAGAATAACAGTATTTCAAGGGATTAAAGAGCCTTTTTTCTGTTAGGCCATAAATAAAAAGGATAATGTACATATTTTTATGGAAGCAAATTTATTCTTATCTAATGATATTTTACTGAAATAAACTTTAGATGATAATGTCTAGTAAACCTCTTTGCAACTATATTTAAAGTCAAGGTCACTCTAAGGTCTGTTAAATAAAAGATTAATTAGAAAAAGCAATATCTTTCCCATGAGCAAAGGCCTTCCTGTACTTAAATTTAAAGGATGACAAAGGGAATCAATATGTAAACCCTTCTAATGGCAGTCCATTTGCACTTTCCACTGCAAAAATAGTTTAGAAGGAAAGCTACCCATGGGAGACGATGCATTAGATGTCCAAGAATAGTCTGCTTTTAATAATAACTCTGTCAGAGAAGACTGGTTTTACATCTGCACTGTTCTTCTGAGCTGGAGCTGGGTATTTACAAAGGTATATCTTATGTTAATTGGATACTCAAAATCTATACTAGGTCTGTCACAATACAC